CAACCATAGGGGAAAAAACCCTTATTGTAATAAATCTGGACAGGAGGGAAAAGAAAGTTAAAAGCCCAGTAACAGATGAAGATTAAAGATGCTGCAGAACACTGAGCGCAGCGAATCAGCCACGGCTAGAGTGTGCTTATACCTTTACATAAATACAGACCTGGGGGAATGAGAACTGACTCATTGTTCAGAGGAATTTACTGAGCAGTAACGAAAGCGGGCAGGAATAACAAGTGATGTAGCCCTTCAGTTATTTACAGGGAGAAGGTGAAGCTCACACGCGTAATGATGGCTCTTGTGTTATTGCTATTTCCACTAAAAGTAAGAGGAAAGGTGCTTGTCTCGTCCTGAGAATACAGCAGAATACTGCCTGTGCTGTTTTGCGTGCAGAACTTTAACAAATCAAAGAGATGATAGTTATATTACTGTGCACTTAGTTGCATCTCTTTCTCTGGAAATCTTGTCTAAAAAGACAAGATCTTATCTTGTTTTCCCCAGAATCTGTCTCTTCTAAAATACGGTGGGGTTTTACTTTGTTTGTCAGATTAAAATTACTGAGACGCCCTTGCACTACAGCCTTCAAAGAGAGGGATCATTGGCTTTACTGCTAAAGCTAGAGCAGTCCTCCGCTCTGCGGAGTGGCGTTGTTTGTAGGGGCCCCGCTTTCTACTGTTGCAGACTGCAGGCGTCTCTTTTCCCTCAACTTTCACTGTTTTGAAAACAGGAGATTGCAGCAGCCAGATGTTTATGTGCTGCTGAGCCTGTCAGGACCCAATGTAAGGGGCGTTTTGCGACTAGACCAAGAAGAAGCCAAGATATGGCTGGGAGGAAAGCACACCGCTGAGATGTCGGCTGCTCTTTGTAGTCTGACTCACTTCCTGAGGCCTCCTCTTGTTCTATAAAACATCTTAAAGGAAGATTAAAGCCATCTTCACCTTATTTCCTCCTCTCTTTCTTGCTTTGCAGCTCTGAATCTGGACCTAGAATTCCCTAATGAAGTTTGACAGACCGTTAGTGCATAACTAACTCATTTTCCAAAACAGGCAAAAGACTATTGGGAGGCAGGAAAGTTATTCCGATGGGCTCTGCAGTTGGCACGACGTGCAGTGATGTTTCTGTTGTAGAATTTCACAGCTGCTCGAGTGCAGAGTCTTGTTCTTGCTGCTCGGTGGGACAGATTTATGCTTTAATTACTGGACTAGTTAGTGCAGACGACTCGGAGCCTGTTGTTTTATAACTGACTTGTGTTTGAAAGAATACTAGGCTGGGTTGTAAGTTTTTTTTCTAAACAGAATACCTAAAATGAGCAAGAAGAACATATGGTGTGATTATATGCATGTGTAATCTCTAGGGGGAGAGCTGTTGCGGTGGTTTTAGTTTCCTTAGATTTAGCTGTTTAGGAATAACATAACGAGGCTCGGCACGTGGACTTTTGGGATTTTTTTAAGGTCAAGCCAGGATTTATTGTAAAACTAGTAGGATAGTTGTAGTATTCTACTGCATTGTAAGCATGGTTATGCTGGATTTTAGACTTGGTTTACTCTAGGGAGGATGTTTCTGATTAATGAAACAAATCCCATGTGTTTTTTCATGAGTTGTCTTAGGGAGCGCTGTTCTGAGTCCAGTAGTATGGATTGTGCGTCATTATTGCAGCTGGGTAGTCTTTTGTGCACCCCCCCCCACCACCCATGTCCATATATAGCACAAAAACTAGGTTTGCTTAAACATACTCAGAGATTTGAAGGTGGTATTCACTTTCCAGGCATCCCATTGTTTGGTTTAAAAGTTTCACGAGGGCAACTGCAACTACGGTTTATCAACAGTTATGTGTAAATAATACCAGCGTGCATCCACTACAGTGGAGCTAAATTGAATGTTTCGTATGTTTTACTCTTCCCTCTGTTTCTTTTTGCTCTGTACGATAGTAATCAATGTAGAGAATTACTAAAACTCCCAAGCCCCAAGTGGCATTTGACAGAAACCATAACCTGAAATGAGGTATTTTTCTGCAGTGTTTTCATCACCTCTGTATGTTTTCAGAAATGAGTACATAAGGTAAAAATCTTTTATTCAGCCCTGTATCCTGTGCAGTAATCCAAATTACTGTGTGTACAATTGCCGCTTGGTTGTTACTAATAGTTAGCAGCAGAATGATCCTTTTCCTCCCTTCTTTGCTAAAAGGAGCCAGACAGGCCTTTTCTTCCTACATACACATTTGTGAAACTGTCTGCTCTGACGATCTCTGCCTGTTTTCCTTCTCACCCTTTTGGCTCCTGTATTTCAGAGTCTTTCTCAAGTTTATGGCTGGGGCAGTTCACCATCTCCAGGAGCTGAGGTCCCTCTGGGCTCCCTGCCTGGAGAGCAGACTTGAGAATCAAGTTGGCTGCAGTAAATGCTTTCTGGCCGAGGGGAGTCTCCCTAGGAGAGGAGAGTTTTCGTTAGATAGGGAAGTTTTACTTCCCCACAGCTGCAGACCCAGCCCATTTTTTCTTCCCTTTCCTTCTCCCTTTCCATACTGACTCAGGCTCTAACTCAACCTGTGAAAGCGAATAAGTAAGACTTTTCAGAATTTCCTGATAATTCAATGGTTAAAGTTATATACAATCCCTATAGTATCCTCTCATTCCAAATTACTGTCGTTTCTGTTATTTTAACTTTATCGGTTGTCTAGCCCTTATTTGCATTTTTTCTAACCTTTTTAACCATCTGGTCCGAGCTCTGGGAAGTGGATTGTACAGGTGACCATGAAATCTGACAGTTGTGGTCAAGTTTTCCACAAAGCTTACCCAAAACGTGAATTATGCCTACAATTACAGAAACTAAACTATAGTTGAAGCTTTCTAAAGCTGCTCTAATAGAAGAATCAATCTGAAGGAGTTTTCTGACATACGTAGTTATAAATATATGATTATGACACAGAAATTATCATCTTCAACCTTAAATTAACAGGAATCAAAAATCAGCCTGGTATGAGAAAGAGCAATATTACTGAAGATGACAGAATTGCACTGGCTTATGTAACTTGTATTGGACCATAGTTTATATATTATTATACACTAAATACAGTTAATATTTTCTCTTAGAAAACATTCTGCTCACCTTGATTAAATGCTATTGAGCTACTGCCACTACTTTAAAGAAATCATATTTCCTGTTTTGTAATTTATTCCCTCAATTTTTTCATTTTTGTGAAGGGGGAGAGGAGAAGAAAAATCTTATAGGGAAAATGCATTTAACATTTATTCCTTATCCTTGACTTTCTCTCTGCTTCTTCCCTATTCAGAAGTTCATAGAGTTTGAAGATGCCTTGGAGCAGGAGAAGAAAGAACTACAAATCCAAGTGGAACACCTTGAATTTCAGACTCGACAGCTGGAGCTGAAGACCAAAAACTATGCAGATCAGAGTAAGCCCAGTTGTGCAACAGATATGATTATGTAGTTGGCCTTTCATGAACGAATACTTCTACTTTGAAATATTTTTTGTTTGTTTGTTTGGATTCTAAAGTAATATATGCAAAGCCTGGACTCTGCAGCTCTCTCTTACTTTGGCATGAACTTCTGAGCTCTCTAAAGGATCAGCTGTACGTAGCACTGATGTGGTAGAGGCCTCACTGTTTCTTTTGCATGGAGCATGCTCAGTCTCTCCAGCTGCAATATTTGGGCCATTGCTGAAGCTTCAGAACCTAGTTTCCAGTTTCTTTGTCTCTGAAAAGAACCTCTCTTTTTTTTGTATAATCTATCACATTTTATTCTTTTAAAGCTACTTCCCTCACATGTGCAGCTGTGTTTTGCTGGCTGAGGTTCCCACCAGAAGTAATTGGTGTTTTGTCTGGTATTCCTGCTCCTCAAATAGCCAGAGGAGCCCACCAAAAGCATAATTTGAACTGTCGTCAAACTAGCACATTTGTAGGACACCAGTCTACTGCTGAAGAACACTGCTTCTAAACTTTCATTGCACTATCTGGTCTGCTCATCTTGGAAACATAATGGTAGCCATGAAATGAATTTCCAGTGAAGACCAGATTCCATAACGTGCATAATTCTGTTTCTGTTTGGCTCAGTAGGTATGAATTCATTTCTAATGCAGTATGTCTATTTTGTAATATAAGCTTTGAGAACCCTCTAGTTTCTTTGGGGAGCCTAATGTGTATGTTAGCTGATGGCTGGAATCTTTTCTTGGTAGTTTCACGACTGGAGGAACGTGAATCAGAAATGAAGAAAGAATATAATGCTCTACATCAACGTCACACAGAGGTAAGTTGTCATCTCCTTTTTTTTAGAAAAATAAACTCTTAGCCTATATGTAAAATCATGTCAAAGAATTGAGCTTTACGACACTAGTGATAACTATGGCTTCTGAACTTTCGGAGCACTGCCCTACTACCTCATCTCCCGCTGCCAACTAGCCTCCAGGAGACATTCTTCATTATTTTTGGATACACTCGTTTGTGGACCTTCTGTTACGATATTAAGCTTAAGTAATTTTTTGACCCTATTTTCTGTCAGATCTTCTGTCAGATTAGTCCATTCACTTATATTATCAGCTTAAAAGAATAGCAAAGACAAGGATATATGCAAAAAAGAAAGGACATTAGAAATAGATGCTGGAGAAGACCAAGCAAAAGCAGAATTGGAGTCTTTTCTGCTTTTCTGTTTGGCTCATGGATTTTTCCCTGTTCACAGATGATCCAGACCTATGTGGAACACATTGAGCGATCCAAGATGCAGCAAGTTGGGGGAAATAATCAAACTGAGGGAAGTCTACCTGGGAGAAGGTAGGGCCATAACCTCTCCATATAATGTATGCCCTCCAGGAACTTATAAGCTGAGTGCACGTATTGGAAAGAGAAAGAAACCAGAACAGGGATCTTTCCCTGGAGGCATGGATTATAGTAGAAAGCTTATTTGTAATGGGTTGTGGGTAAGTTGTAGGTAAGTTTTCTAAGGCTTGGTGAAGAGGAGCTTTGTTACATGTTCTCTAACAAAGCTTAGGCTTTGCCATGCTACTATTGTTATGGGCCTCGAAAAAAAAGTTTTTATTTTCAGGTGGCACGTAAAAAGTTTATAAAATGAATGGGGATGGCAGAGAGTATACAACTGTGTGTGTGTGTGTGTGTGTGTGTGTGTCTTTGTGTGTTTGCGTGATAGAAGGCAACAAAAATGTAGCAATTAAATGCGTCGTATTTGATTTCTCCTGTTTCTTCAAGGGCAGATTTCTGTAGAGTCAGTCATCAGGAGATCAGATAAGTCTCCTTCTGCCCAAAAAGGTGATTTTCCCATTTTCGTAGCACCATTAGGAATCAGCCTTTGGTTAAAGAATGACAGCAGTAGGAAAGAAGTTCATTGTGTAAAATCATCAGCCCTTACAGCCCTTAGATCAAATTTAAGCAGAAAAGCTGCAGTTGCATTGATTTCAGTACAGATACTTGTGATTTTAACTAGTGTGTGAAGAAACCAGATGCTTGCTCTGTGATGAGTTTATATACCAATGATAATGCCCATGGGATGAGAAATAACAAAGAAGTTTCAGAAATATTGGTTAGAGAAGTAATAGATCACATAACATATAATATTAATCTATATTATTAATCTACTCAGATCAAGCACGATCTGTTAAGTGACTCAGCCATAAGAAAGGTGTTCTCTGTGGGAATTCTTATGCATGTCAAATTACTGTTTGTGTTAATCATTACATGCTAACGATATGATTAACACTATAGTGACACTCTCTAACCCAGAAAGGGTTTTTAAACTAAAACAGTAGTCCCTAGGGGAACAATATTGACCAAGTGATGCGCCAGAGGAAATTCTTTTTGTTCTCCTTGCTTGTTCTTTTTTAACTTTTTAACTTCTTTTGGCCTTGAGCAATATCAAAAGGTGTTGCACACATATTGACCACAAGCCATGGCAGCTGTTGGTCTGAAAATAGACAAGAGACAGTACCAGTAGCACAGGAATACTCAGAAGAGATGGCCAGCTAACTACGTTCTCTCTGGTCTCATAAAATACATCTGAGTGATCTTGATTAATATCTCTGAACTTCACTTAGTTAATATCTGTGAACTTCATCAAAAATAAATCTGGAGCATTAGGCTAAGAAAAGGAGTACGGCTGGCATGTCAGAGTATACGCAGGGGCAGCATGAGAAGAGACGTAGAGTTGAAAATAATGGAAAAATTAGGTAAGCAGAAAACCATGAAGGTTTTTGAAGGGGAAGCAGTATTATCTGACAGAAGTGATGAAATACAAAAGAGCATCGAGCAGAGTTTGGAGATGAAGAAGGAGTAAAATTACTTGAAATTAAGAATAAAAGAAGATATTAAGAATAAAGGATGAATAAGTGAGGATATTATAGTACCTTGTATTTAGGTCTGTGACATTTAAATACCAGAATGTCAGTTGCCTTTGAGGTAATGTAATTGAAAGGAATTTTCAGGTCCTGACATTAAAAAAACCCCAAAAACTAAATCCTTCTGTCTGCTATGGCTTCCTTTTACTGGATTGGACTGCCCTGGAACAAGCTGAACCCAGATTGCCAAAGTTTTGACTGTGTATTGTAAATGAGAAAGAGAAAGGGAGAGAAAAAAGCGACCCCCTGTGAAAGAGGCTTGGGGAGGGTGGGGAGGAAGGGAGCAGTACAAGGCATGTGTCTTCAGAAACTTTGGTAAATAGCCTGAGACTCCTGCCAGATCCCCTGCAGCCTTGTTATTCCCTCTCTGACTAGCACATTTTTTTTTCTGCCAGAGGACCATGATTTAAATGGAAGGCAAGAGATCCTACTAGATTAGGAAAGAGTCAGTCTGTAGTTTGGTACTGATGGCATACTTGTGCTCACTAACTAGAAGAAAATCCACGCTTGAAGCTACTCCAGTGCTGTGTGCCTCTACTGCTCTACTGTGCTTTTGCATGAGTTCTTAGCTGCTCCATGGTAGAGGGTGACCAGGATAGACTAGATCTTTTCAGGTGGATGGGAAGTGCCAGTTAGGTTGAAAGATGTGGTTGTTTTACAGGAAGAAGAATAGCCATGCTGATATCTGTATTTATATCTTGCTGCTATTTCTGTATCTCACTTAGGGGCTGGGGGAGCGGTGAGCTTCAGAGCAGACATGACACATCATGGCTTGAAGTAAAATGCCAGTTCATTCTCCCATTTCTTTAGTTCTACAGAGAGAACCTCAGTTCCACTGCCGATCAATAGACAGTCAGGTTTAGCAACATCACAAGGGCAGAAAGATCACGATTTTAAACAGTTTTCCCCTCAACTCAGAGGCAGACTGACTCATCTAGTTTTTCTCCCACATGATCTCTCCACTGTACAGTGCAATTTCTTAATCACACCTATAAGGAATTGGTTCTGGAGGCTTCGGAATAGGTCTGGATAAGCTCCTTTTTTAGCCACTTGTCCCAGGATTTCAGAGTTCTAGAACTGATCTTCTGCACATGCCTCCTCTGCATAACTTTTTCAAAAATGAACAGTTTTGCATAAAACTGAAATAACTGCTGCATGATCCATGCTCCCTCTCTTCCAGCTCTGCCAGGAAAAAATACAGGTTTTAATCTTTTGAAGGAGTGTCTATTTTCTATTTCATCACCACCTGTAGTAATTAGATAGTGTTGTAGCTTTGACTACAAGAATAACTTGCGGCTGGAAGATACCGGTATCTCAGAGAAAGAGCCCTCCTTTTTTTCTGAAGCATGATTGTTTCATATGATTGTTATAGTCTCATTTGTAAGGCTACCAGAGTCTTTTTACGCAACGTACAGAAAGGACAGAAAGCCACAGTTACGTGTAGATCAAGGGAGACTGTATCATGGACTCACAGAATGGTAGAGGTTTGGAAGGGACCTCTGGAGACCACCTAGTCGCCCTGCTCAAGCAGGGTTGCCTAGAGCGCGTTGGCCCAGGATTCTGTCCAGACGGCTTTTGAATACTCCAAGCATGGAGGCTCCACAACCTCTCTGGGCAACCTGTGCCAGTGCTCAGACACGCTGTCAGGAACAAAGTTCGTTCTTAGATTCAGATGGACGGTCCTGTACTTCAGTTTGTGCCCGTTGCCTCTCGCCCTGTCACTGGGCACCACGGAGAAGAGTCGGGCCCTGTTCCTCTTGACGCCCTCCCTTCAGGTGTTTATTCACATTGATAAGATCTCCCTGAGCCTTCTCTTCTCCAGGCTGAACAGGCCCTGCTCTCTCCGCCTTTCCTCCTAGGAGAGATGCTCCAGTCCCTTCTTCATCTCAGTAGCCCTTTGCTGCATCTGCTCCAGCAGCTCCAGGTCTCTCTCATACCGGGGAGCCCAGACCTGGACACAGCGCTCCAGGTGTGGCCTCGTCAGGGCTGAGCAGAGGGGCAGGATCACCTCCCTCCACCTGCTGGCAATGCTCTGCCTAATGCAGCCCAGGATACTGCTGGTCGCCTTTGCCCCAAGGGCCCACTGCTGGCTCATGGTCAACTGGTTGTCCACCAGGACCCCCAGGTCCTTCTCCGCAGAGCTGCTTTCCAGCAGGTCAGCTCCCGGGTTGTCCTGGTGGTGAACCAGCCGCTCCTCCCAGTTTTGTATCATCAGCAAACTTGCTGAGGGCGTACTCTGCCTCATCATTGATGATGACATTAAACAGGACTGGACTCAGTATTGACCCCTGGAGTAAATGGCTAGCTACAGGCCTCCAACTAGACTTTGCACCACTGATCACAACCCCCTGAGCTCTGCCATTCAGCCAGTTTTCAGTCCACTTCACTGTCTTCTCATCTAGCTCGTACTTCATCAGCTTACCTTATGAGCATGTTATGGGAGACAGTGCTGACACTGTTTTACTTAAGTCAAGCCTTACTGAAGTCAAGGTAGACGACATCCACTGCTCTCCCCTCATCTAACTAGCCAGTCATTCCATCATTGAAGACTGTCTGGTTGGTTAAGCATGATTTCCCCTTTGCGAAGCCACGCAGACTACTCCCAATCACCTTGTCCTTCATGTGCCTGGAAATGGCATCCAGTATTAATTAGTTCTTCCATCAGCTTTCCAGGGACTGTAGTGAGCCTGACTGGCTTGTAGTTCCCTGGGTCCTCCTTCTTGCCCTTTTTGAAGACTGGAGTGACATTTTTACTTTCTCCAAGTCCTCAGGCACCTCTCCTGATGACCATGACTCTCTCAAAAGATTACTGAGAGGGGCCTTGCAATTACATCAGCCAGCTCCTTTAGCACCCATGCATGCATCCCATGAGGACCCATGGACTTCTGGTACAAGGTGTCACCAGCTTCCAACCTTCTCCTTCCTTGGAGTTTCCACTTACTATCCTGCTAGGCATGGACTCCAACTGTGTCACCAGTGCAGTTGGGGCTCTTGAAGCTGTGGAGTCTCTAAGAGGATCCTGTCCATCTCTCTGTCATCCTCTCTGATACTTTGCAGCCTGCTGACCTCCTCCTCTAACTCCTCCAGTTGGTGACACAGCTCTTCAACAGCTCCACACATCCTGCAGGAAAGAAGACCATCTGCCCCAGCCTCATGGAGAGGCCCCATGACTTCCTGAAGCCTGAGACTTGCAGAGCTGCACCCTCCATTGGAAGCTCTGTCTGGGTCAAAGCCTCTGACATGGCAAGGACAGCTGCTCCCACAGCCGCTGGGGAACGTGCGCTGTGGTACATCAGAACCACACCTCAGGATGTGTATGCTGGTCTGAACTGAGATGAAGACTCCTCCTTTGCAAACTGCTACATGTCCGGGCTGTGTTCTGGACCTGGCTCTTACACAAGCCCTTCCCGAGCACTGGCTAAAATTGCTTGACCCTCCCTAATCAAGTATTTACCCTTCCTCTTCTGCCAGTCAAATATTCCAGAATATATATAGACTATTTTATAGTATTCCTTCTAGAGAGGAGTTGCTAAAGGATGTGATGGATATTTAATGGGCTATACTGAGTTACACTGGTGTTGTATTTTCTGCAAAACTGTAAATTAATCTCACAACAGACAGGGTTTTAGAAGAATAAAAATAGTTACAGAATACAGTGTTTGGTGTCTGCCAATTGCTCTGACCATTTCCTGACTGAAGATTATGCTGAACTCAGTATCCAAATGGATTATCTAAAATATAAAAATCCATTGGCAAAAGAAAAGATAGATGGTAGCATTTCTAGGCAAATGGGACAGGCCTGATGGGTGCAGAATGCAAGATAAGACATGGTATAAAAAGGAACTGATAGTTTGTAGATGTTCTTCTGAATAGAAGTACAGGTGTCATTCGTAACATCTTCTTTGTGTCTGACTATTCTTCTTTCTCCTCTCCCTCTGGTGGTCTGGGAGTTTAGCATGTTCTCAGAACCCAGGCTGATCCTTGTGTCACAACATTAATGGGATAAGGATGTTAGGCTTGTTTCTCTTCCCACGTATCCTTCTGTAAATAAGAATATATCTGTGAAAGTTCTTCCACCATGAAATGTAGAAGTAATATAGGCGAGAGTGCGCTCAGGGCCTCCCTGTTTTAAATGGTGGCTCTGATATGTATCTGCCAAGTTTGGACTGCATGGTGGAAATTGATTTTAGTGAGATTTCCCTTTCCTAAGTTTCAAATAAGTTCAAATAAGATCAAATTAATTGTGGCTTCATGCCATCATTCAGTGAAAGAGAAGCACAGTGAAAAGCATTACTGGTAGTGTCTGGAAGACCACCATTCTCCTGGGGTGAAGAGCAAAACTTTCTTCAGGAGTTGCCTCTCTGTGCTAGAGAAATTGCAGTTTTTTGAGGTTTTAAGCGTGGCATGTCACTAGTCTCTTGGGAGAGAAAAAAAGAAAGAGGAAGGCTGTACATTGTATGTCTGTCAAAGCCCTTGACAGGGCTTTGACCTGAATTTGTACGAACAACCAGTGGGAAACAGGGCTTTTTCCTTCATTTCAAGCTTTGCACTGTTCCTGTGTGTGTGTAGCTCCGTATTTGTATTAGCACAAGCATTTCTGCTGGATGTGTGTTTGTGTGTCGCTACACAGCTGTATATGGATTTGCACATTTGTGCATCCTGGTGCACTGATGTGTGCTGAGGGGAGATATGGGCCTACGTTGCTCACAGCCTTCCTAGGTGTTCATGTGAACGCGTTTGTTCATTTTCATCCATGGATGTGCTTGGGTGTGTTCTGTGTGGTATACTACATAAGTGCGTATTTGCCTAAGCCCATGAGTGCTCCAGGTATGTTTGCCTATCACTTTGAGAAATGTTTGTGCAAGAACTGTAGGGCTACCTGGATGTTTCTCACCATCGGAGAGGGGTGATGAGTGGGGTGTGCACTTCTGTGCTGTGTGAGTAGGGGGCATGGATACACTGTGTCTGTTGGAGGGCTGCACGTTTGCATGACCTTTGCTCTCTAATGGTTGTTTTTCTGTCTCGCTTTTTGTGCGATTGCTGCTCTGTTTTGGCTGTTATGTTTGTCACTGCAGTCATCGCCAGTCATGGAGGAAAAGGTAAATTCTATTGCTGCATCTTAACTTTATTAATCTTAGTTTTGGAGGTTGCTGTTGAGTGGCAGTGGTGTGATGCTGGAGATGTACTGTACTGGCCTGTTTGCCGTCTCTGCCTACTGGTATTCCACGTTAGACTTGCTCATACAAGTGACAGTTTCTTGGGCTGACTCAAGGGGAACCTGCAAGCTGCTGTGTTCATACATCAGGAAGAAGCTTGTGTGTGCCCAGAAGCAGAAGATGCTGAAGTTCGGTCCCAAAACCACATCAGTCCTGTAGAATCGGATGTTTACATTTCCCATCCCTGAGTATTTTAAAGGTCTTTTTTCCCTTAGTTTGCCATACAGTACAAAGCATCCATGTTTTCCGAGCAGGACAGAGATGCATGCTCTTGTTGGTGATTCTCAGAATGCACTTCTGACTTTGGCCTGAACAATGAGTCCTCTGTCCTGAGCCTACAAAGAGAACAATTCTCATCTTCAAATATTGGCAAACAAACAGTTTTGTTATATTTTATAAGCTTTAGGATGAAAAAGCGTCCTGATCCCAGGTTTTCGCTACTGAAAACCATTTTTGAGGAGTTTGACATTTATCATATAAACACAAGGCAGAATTAATCATTATTAAAAGAGTCCCTCTATATGGGAAAGAATTTGGTTTATGAAGGTTGCTCTAAAGGGCTGTAGTGAGCACTCTAAAGTTAGACCAGCCTTGAGGATGCTCTAAACTTTTTTTTAAAGACCCAATTGGTAAAGTCAGCCCCTGGACTGGAAAGCTACAGCTAGCTCTTCTGCAGTTTGTGTCCTTCCCCCTTCCCCAGGAGATAGAGGAGGGGTGGGAAAGTGTTTCCAAAGCAACTCAGGAAGGAAATTTTGAAAGCAGTTTTCGTAACAATCTACATTACATTAAAATGCTTTCCTGAAGATGCTACAGATTCTGACACTACTGAGACTGTGCACCTCTGTGCTTTGTTTAATGTGGAGCATAGAGTTCATACGTTCACTGTATGCTGAGTAGAGTATTGCATCCCCTTCCATCTTAAATACTTATGTGTTTACATAGGAATGTAAAAATAAGCTGTGGAATCTCCAAGGAAACCTGGCAGATATTACGTAAAGAGGAAGTATGGTTTAATGACTCTGTCAGCACGTGTATGAGATGGCTAAATTTTTAAGAAGTGGCAATGCAGCCAGTGACTTAATGTTAAGCCATCCCAGCATAGCATCAAAAAAATATTTATAGCAAACTGTTAGATATTCTCTATGCACCACTTATTTTTCAGAAAATAAACTCCTTTCAGGAATGTTTCAGAGAGTTACAGGAGCTTTTCCCCACCTACCTGTTTCTCCGCCTGTGAAGCGTGACTCCCTTAGGGCCATCATTCTAAGCTGAAAAAGAGGAAAGATATGAAACTAACATTTAAAGCTGCTCTAAAACTGGCTTAAAGTACATATTTTTCTTCCTGAGCAGAGTGATTCCTTTAAAACAGGATCTTTGGGGTTTCTGGGCCATTGTATCTCTGAGCATAAAGCTAGGAATCTTCCCTCTTCGTGGCATAAAGTTTCAGTTTCTAGTTTTGAATCTTTTCATGGTCTCTTGCACCTAACTGACTATAGCTTAATGTGGGTTTTAGATCAGTATGGTGATAGGGGTGAAGATTTCATCTTAGGGGAAAAAAGTTTCCCTAGCAAGTTATTTAGAAAATAAAACACATTTGCAAGTCTTCAGGGTCTTGGAATGATAGCAGTAGGATCAGGAGAGGTAGGTTAGTAGTAAATGTAGGAAGACCTAATAGATGTAGTTTGTTACAAATCGTCATGAAATATTAGGAGCAGGTATAAATGTCAGGATAGAGATAATTAATCAGCATTTAAGCAAAATCAGTATTTAAGCAGTGGAATATTTTGTATAACTCTACAGTGGCTGCTAATTTCAAAAAGTAACAAGCACCTTATAGAGATTCCTTTTGAGTGGAAAGGCTAAAAGGAAATTTATAATCCCTATTATACATGAATCTGTTTTTGAATCTGTTGAAAGGTGATTGTGTCTACTCTGTAAACCAAACTAAGCTTATTCAGGTTGTGTCTGTGATCAGTGATCCTTTAAAAACCAGAGCCATGTGCTGCCTTTGTCAGAGGATTTGTCCATTTTCTATGAAACGTGTATGTTTGAATCCTTAGGATCTTCAGGAGATTCTAATGCAAATTCTTAGGAAAACTGCATCCCAACTTTCCTCGCTGAGCTACTTGAGAAACACCTTTCTTTCTGCCCTTTCTATCTATCACAGATGGGTCACAGCAAGCAGTTATTCCTCACCATGAGTGACACTGGCATGCCAGCACCTAGTTCCCTAGGTCAATGAGACAATGAGGAGGGAACAGCTGGACATTCTGATTTTTCTGCACAAACATTGTTTCTTCTATTCACACTCCACCTCTTTCTCCATAAATGAGCTGACCCTTGCATCAGCATCTGTGTTAGTGCATTTGCACAAGTCTCAGGGGCCATAGATTCTGTTGCAGTCATTTTCATCCAAGGTCACAAGTGGAGCAGTTGTATCTGTCACTTGGCTAGATCTCAGGAGAAATGATCTCCCTGTCCGGGAGCAGCATCCCACAGCGTAAACATGGAGCCAGGCTGAGAAGGGGGATGCATCTGCGTTTAAGAGGAGACTCTTTACTGCTGCCCTGTTCCTGGGCATTAAATCTGACAAGCCCATCTGCTTAGTTTGATTTTGAAGTCTAAATATTGATTTGTTAGGCAAATCTGTTCACCTTTTGCATAGCCAAACTTTTTTTTGCATGGCAATTAGACCACTGCTGATGATCATTAAAGAAAGACACGTGAAGGTCTAGCGTTACTAATTCTCATGTACAGACAGATAGATTTTACCTTTTCCTGTACCAGTAAGTGAGAAACTTGAGCAAAGGGGGAGTAGGCCCATAGAGGAGCTGGTGAAGTATCATTATTGAACTCCTTTGTGGGTGCGTGTTGCACAGAGGATCAGCTTGGTTTGTTTCTGGAGGGCCACTGGAACCCAGCTAGTGGAGGCTGCTGAGGAGATCTGCTAAGCGGATGTCTGCTCCAGTCCCTGCAGGCCTGCTTCTCTGGCTCAAAATCAGTTGCTGGCTTTGGCCTGCTGCTACAGCCTTTTCCACCTCCACTACTTGCTCTAGATTTTCTCCTGCTGGAACTTAGTCTCAAAATCTGTGCCAGCTGATATATTCACAATCAAACCCAAAGCTAGCTAGTCACCTACAATTACCAGAAGAAATGAGAGATGAAGAAAACATCATTACAAACATCTGGCCATGTGGCTGATACGTTCATTTATCTGTTCATTTATATCCTGAATTTTGAATGGATTACACCATGGATATGGAGCGGTGATCACAGAGTGCAATTGTTACTTTTCTTCCTTAATACCTGAAGCGTTCCAAAGGAAGTTTAATTTCTGCTGTTGGAGCAAACCAGATTTGGGATATATAGAAGTGCCATGTAGGTAACGCTCACTTAAGCCTCTTTCGTGACTCAGTGATGAGATCTCTAGGATCTGTGGGAGCTCTGAGGTGTCAGCTTCATGGTATTCACAGAAGAGAGTTGTTTGCTTTGGCTTAGTTTTCTACAGTGCTTTCTGTTCCTCAGAGGATATGTTGACTTAAATTGACTCACAGTCCCTTGCATTTTTTCATTCTCCCAAAATCTTCCATACAGTTAATGAAGTCAGTTGTGTCTGCTGTGGTCTCCTAATCTCTTCCCCTTTCTATAGAGTTCCCCAGGGAGACGTAGAGCTCCAGCAATAGACACCATGGGGCTGAATAGACAAGATCATGGAAGTGTGGGTGTTGGGAGTCCATACAGCTATAGAGTGAGGGGCAGGAGTACAGTTCAATTTCTGGTGATTAATATTTCATGTGAGCTCATGTGAGGTTTCTTTTCTATAAGAACCTTGTGAGTGGCTAACCGATTGCTTTTCCCTCTCTCTCTGTTTCTCTGTTTAGCAGGAAGGAACGTCCTAACTCTCTGAACGTCTTCCCCCTTGCGGATGGAATGGTACGTGGGCAGATAGGGGCCAAGATCGTCCCAACACTGGACCACTGGCACCTGAGTGACCTCGGCCAGCTGCAGTCCAACTCCAGCTACAAGGTTTTATAGACCGTCACGGAGCAAGGGTTTCCCACTCTACCACTGTCAATAGCATCCTATGTTCTCATTAAGACAGAGACCAGTCTGTGTCCATAACCCTTTGCAGCCTCTCCCTCCTCTGCGCCTGCTCTTTCTAGTAGCTGTGCTGTCGTGGGGAGGATAGCGTTTTGCAGACCTGTCATGGTAGGAGAGGGATTTGACAGCTCCTCATGCTTCTTGTCACCTTCTTGTTTCGATGTCAGTCTCTTTTACTTGGCTGGGCCCAAGTGGACAGGAGAGTGTGGGGAGGCAGTTAGGCATTTCGGGAAGATAAATGCATTGCTTTTTATAGCTTATTTGGGAGAGGAAATGGTGGAACCTGTCTGCCCCCTCACCCCTTTCTAGGAGCAATACTTGTGCACCTCAGCTGGGACCAGGCATTGGGTTGCGTTTGCTCTCCAGTGTTTGTCCTTTCTGACTGATCACTGTTTTGGCCTTCCCATCTTCAGTAAAAAGGGGTCCTAATCCTATCTGGATACCCAAGCCTTACGCTGCACTTCAGGTATTTCATTTCCTCACCCACTTAGTTTCTTACTCTAAACTTGCATTGTGTCACTGTCAATACACTGCCTTCTGCACTGCATCTTGCCAAAAGCCTCACAGCATTGCAACTGCGCTGAAGCAGCTGGATTGTCCTGCCTGTTGCTTGTGATGCTCTGCTCTACCTTTCAGAGACTGTGCTGAGCCTGAAGACCCAGAAGTTGCACTCTTGAGTTGACAGTTCTGTGCATTTATTCACATTTTAGACTACACATGGTGACTAATATTGCACCAGCTCAGAGTCCCACTGAATTTCTCTCTTTAAATGATGTTCCACAAATCCCTTGTGACAGGCCTGACAGCCAATAGCGCATGTACCCAGTTCTGCTTTTGATATATCCACCAATATCCTGCAGAGCCTGGAACTGCTTCCAAGTCTACTTTGAAAGTGTCTGATAGTCTATCCCCTTCACTGGAATTTGTAGAACATCAGGTGTTTCACGTGTCCTGTACTAAAGCAAGCTAAGAGGAGACTGTCTTCTTGAAAAGTTACAAGTCAGTAATCCTGTAAAATCCATTAAGATAGTAAAGAGGAAGAGAAAAAGAACCATGTTATTACAGCCATTCTGCATGTCTCCAGACTATACTAATGACACTTTGGCCTGAGGCAGTCTGCAGAAGACACAAGACAAGAAATGCAGACAAATTCAAAAAGGTATGCCGAACACGAAGCAGCAACTTTTCTTTTTTAACTCTACCTTTGGAAAGCAACCAGGCCCAGCACAGCACAGCCCTTAGCACTGCATCAGCCCTCTGCTGTTGCAAAAGTTGAAAATCTAAAGGCATAACGCAGGCATAAACAAGATCCTTGGATAAGATGGAGACTGTTCTTGCAACCCAAACATTGCTTTAGTGTTAGAGGCACGCTGGTTTGGGAAATATAGCATCTCACAAAATACCCGCCAGGTTCTACAGTAATTTCTGGGGTGCAGTGCCTGGAATTAGGGAATAGCAATGCCACAGTGCAATGATGTAATCGAGGAGGAAATGAAGATATACCATGAACATTTTTCTTCAAACAAGCTAGTGCTATGCCAGCACAGCACTGCTACAAGGACACAAACAGCAACCAAAAGTTACAGAGACCATACTGCTTCCAGTTCTGGAGTTAGTTTTATTTCTTGGGATCTCCAGATGGTGCGATACTGTGTGGTGTAAACACACCCTAGAGCTCTCTGTTGATCAGGTGTGCGTGGCAGCAGTTAGCTTTTAGAAGAGAGCTGGGAGGAAGCTGGGGTTAGCTTCATCTTCCGCAGACTTGTTAAGGCTTAATTCTTTCAGCTGCACGATTTATAGAGCTTCTAAAAGCTTTTTAGTGAGAGTTGAGTAAAACTCAACAGTAATTCAGTGTCTGCGTTGCAGGAGACTATCACAGGAATTCAGAAAAATTAGAAGTTGTGCTCTCAAAGTTTAGATAATGGGTTATTGAGTGGATCTCTTTGTAATCTGTTGGTGGTGGTGTCAGGCCGAAAATCCATTTCTGGTTACAGGAGAACACTGTGCAGGGGTAGTAGTGTGCTGCTCTGGGTATATCTGACAGGTAGTGCTGGGCTTGGTGTTGGTGCTTGTTAGGGAAATTTGGGAACAGGACACTGGGTTTAAGGAGGCTAGCTAATAGATGCAGTTGGGAGTGCTAAGGCTATGGAAAACCCAGATGGATAGCGTGTTGTGGTGGCTTTCCTAAGAGTATGGAGCAAACATATGAACAATTAAAGGGGGAGATTGACTGACTTAACTAGATTTGCAATTTGGAATGGAGATTTTCCTCCTGCAAACTTCTTATGCACTCTCTGACTGAATTGCTATTTCTTAAGTATTTTGCATGACTGAAATCTCAGCATTACTGCTGATGTGCTCCTCTTCTCTTCTTCGGTAGCTCTGATATTTCACTGACATCCACTGCATACACATAACTCTCCTTCCCAAAGTGTGTATCCTGAATCTTCTGACTAGTTTTCCTTCTCCAGGGGTGATACGTTAGTTATATCTTAAGTGTCCTTATATACTTATTATTACTATTTTCTGTTTTGGTTTCTGTCATTATATTATTTTATTTTTACGTTCAGTTGTACGTTTATTTTATATAATGTTTTAGAGATGATAGTCCTTAACGTTTTTGTTTTTATGTACTATGCTTTCAGTGTTATAACCATACAATTGTGGCTACTCATGGTGACATATGACTGCTATGAATGTTGGGCCTTTGCAATGCATTTTGGAGGTCACTACTACACATTTGATGTTTAGGAGGTTGACAGGTATGGCTGTAGGTAAGTGGTGGTTATGGAGAGTATTCTTTGGGTGAGCTATGGGTTATGGAGAATGCCTCCCAGGCTGTAGAGGAGAGCTGTGGCCTTAGTGGAATATTTAGTATTAATATAGCACTCAGGAAAATAGAAAGAAGATTCAGCAAAGTCTAGTAGAGCTTCTGAATTGTTAAGAGGAGTACCTTGGTAGTATTTACAGTCTGAGAGTGGATTTCTCCAAAGCAGGCTGGTAGGTATGTGAAGGACATTTTATAGGTAAATGTAAAATTCAGTTGTATAACCCAAGGGCAAGCGTAGATCGGAGTGATTATGTCAATGATGTGATTTGACTGAGGGGAAGAGTATGTCAGTAAGTAAGAGGTTACACGGTATGTTTCTGGTCTAAGGATTGTCCTCTGGACACTGATGATACAGCATTTCTGAATGATGTCTAGTTCCTAAAAATAAGGAGTGACACTGGATCCATCTGGGTGTCTGTTTTACAGTGTGAAGTTCCTCACAGACTGTGGTTATGCTGTAGTCATATAGGGGGTACAAGAACATCTCTGAATTCCGTACAAGAGAAGTTTTGTTTATGGGAAGGAGGTTTTACAATTGTACTTTACACTAGGTATTCTTTGTCCCTTTGTAAATTAGAAAGCACAGCCGGCAGATTGCAGTTGAAGTAGCGCAAAACTTACTGGGTCATATTTGTTCTGGTTTGATCTTTTTTTTTCTTGACACATTAGAAAAATTTCTCCTGGAGCAGGAATATGAAGTAGATGTGGGAAGTGTGGTTTTCACATGTAGCAGCCTAAGTGAAATGTCCTCATCTCAGTTTTGATGCTGAAAATCAGCAAATGTGCAGGGAGATGATTTGAAAGTCCATATGGGAATGTGGGTGTTGTTTGGACTGACGATCCAAAAACAATATACAAAAAATGTGGATCGTATTTAATGGTAATGTAGTTTAAAAAATATATTATTTCCAGTATAAAAGGCACAGATGCAGTGTAAAACTTTTGACTTCCACAGTGCAATGTACAGCAGGATATTTTAAGATCAAGCACACAGAGGACAGTCTAATTAAAGCAGTATGTTAATAAGAGTCCAGATTTAAAAAAGAAATGGCTGCAAAGGGTTTAGTCACCATTTTTTAGTCCTCTCACTCATCCCATTTTGAATTCTTTTTGTCATGTTATGAAGTTGTTATTAGAACAACAGAATGAAACTTCCAAATCAGTGAAGTGAAACAGCATCACAGCTCCAGGGCTGGGAGGCGTGAAGAAGCCTCTGAGCAGAATCAGAAGCTTTCTATCAATTGCACAGGAGAGGAGAGGCAAGTAGAAAAGGTTGTAGCTGGGTCTGCACGTGCAGATACTGTATGTCATCGCACCCAATTGCAACTCATTATCACATATAACTGAAAATTTATTTTGTCATTTCCCTGCAGGCAGTAATTGGAGTGGGCTGCTATGAAGAACAGGGTGATCTCATTTGGGTCTGGGAGTGATTACTCCATTGGTTAGGAAGTTAATTGCCTGATCGTGAAGCAGCGCTGTTTTAATTGACAAACAAGGGTCACAGTGTAAAATGCTGGCCAAGTCTTGAAAGCCTCCCCTGTTTTTCAGGAGGTGGTGTTGCAAGAAGTGGGGCTGTAATGTCTGCAAAACTGAGACCCATTTGTGCACGTTTCACACTGGAAATCCATCTCATATGTTAATTTGTAAATTGGTTTTTTAATTCTTGGGTCTTGTCTTCTGTCATTTGGAAGTGGGCAGATCATACCTGTTTCTACTCTGTTGTCAAGCAGGACCCATGCCTGGCTAGCTTCTGCATAAAGTGATAGGCGGACATAGGTCTCTGCGCTAACGAACTCAGACCATCCCAGCTTGGTATCCGCTTTGCTTCCGCAGTTTAGTGTTAAAAATCCTTCTCTGTTCTCTCAAAGTGCTAGCATCCGAGTTGTTGTAATGACTTACTATAATGACAGCATCCAGAACCTCTAAAAGGCCAATTCAGATCCTGTCCCGGCAGTATCCATGTTGCCTTTCGGTCTTGGAAAAAGTTGGCCTGGCTTACTACAAGTGCTAAAACCCTTCAGCTTCCACTGTAGTCTGTGGGAGTTGCGGGTGCGTTTCGCCTTTGATGAGGCCATCTTCCTTGAGATGCACGATGAAGATCACATGTTGATGTGTCTTCTGAAGACCAGTGCTAAGCAGTAAAGGAAGAAGGAGATCAGTCCTTAAATAGGTAGGATTTGCTTGCTGAGTTCAGCACGAGAACTCACTGCTTCATTGTGGTTGCAGTGCCAAGCGTGACCAGTGAGCTCTGGACAGTTAGTTCGTGTGATGAACGAGACGCAATTTTTCATAACGCTTTAGGGCAGCCATAACCAACACATGGGAGATAAATAGAAATGTATAGCTGTGCTTTTCCCTTTCTGTTTTTCTCCCACCCTGGAATTGTCATAGTGCCCCCAAGATGAAATGTCCGAATCTGGACAGTCCTCGGCAGCTGCCACACCGAGTACCACTGGGACCAAGTCGAACACTCCCACGTCATCTGTTCCCTCTGCTGCTGTCACCCCCCTGAATGAGAGCGTCCAGCCCATCAGTGAATACAATGGCACGGCCAAGAGCAATAAGAGGGCACGAGAAAAGCGGAACAGCCGGAACATGGAAGTCCAGGTCACACAGGAGATGAGGAATGTCAGCATAGGTATGGAAACTGGATTTAATCATTAAAATAATTGACTTCACAGTGCTTGTGTCTGCCTGTTACAGGAAGAGACTGGGAGCATGAGGGCTAATCAGCTTCGTAAGTACAGAATTTGAGGTAGGGTTCCTTGGAAAGATCTATGTGCATCAAACGCTAACGGGATGTCAGCTTTTTTCTGCATAGAAAATTGTAAAAATTTCAGTAATGATGTGGATAGTTTCATGAATATTCAGGATAGGAATATTGAGTTCAGTTCCCTGCAGTTGCACTCCCCTGTGTCATAGAACCCCTTTCATGAAAGGTCAAGTCCCATCTTCGTCTAACTGGGCTTTTGGAGAGCTGTTTCTGGACCTCATTAATCTGATAGTTTAAAACTTCCATTTAATTACTTGTCTGAATTTATTCGTAAGTATTTTAAACCTCATTGTTCACCTGGCAAAATTGTGAGTTGGATTAAATAGTTGTTTTCCCTTCTGTGTGGTTATCCACGCCCTGATGTATTTATAAGTAGCAATTATATCCCTGTTCAGTTTTGTTTTTCTAAGCTAAATAAGCTGATTTCTTTTAGTCTGTTTCCAATATAAGAAACTCCTCAAACCTTTAAAAGCTACAATTGTTTTTTCTCCACTCGCTGGAGTCCTATATGGATTTGAATTCATGATCTCTAGTGAGGAAAACCATCACCTAAGCACCAGGCTATTTAAATAAATAAATGGTGGAATAACATGATGAAAGCCAGTTTCCGTGGTGTTTAATATAGCTCTACCAATGCAGCATCTAAGCAACCCCCAGCCTGTGTTGTATTTAGATTTGCAGCAGCCCTTGGAAATGAGAAAAGATCTGTTTCGCAGGTCACGAACTTACATACGAAAGGACTGTAAAACTAGCTGAAGATCATAAAGAAGGTCTGTGCAGGAATACATGAATGAGCCTGGGTCTCCAAGGTTAGCATCTGAAGCAGAGGATCATCCTTTTAATCCTAGTAATGCAGAGGAGGTTCCTCTGCTAACATTCACAATTGGGCTTCTAGCAAATTAAAACCGTCAACCAATATATAACATCTTTTGTTGTAGCTTTTGGCTGAGAATTGCTATGATTTGAGTCCCATTCTGTATTTATATTAGCAGCTGAGGGGCTCCCAGGTCATAGAGGTCAGTCTACCAGACACGTCAGTGTAGTTCTTTATAAAAGCATATGGCTTCTGCATGGCCAACTGTTAAATCGTTACCTATTTTGTGATCTTGGCCAAGGCAGGTCAGTATAAGCATTAGTACTGGATAAACTGAACATGAATGTCTTTGGTGGGAGAAACCAGGAATTGTACGTAACAGGAATAAGCTAGAACTAGACACGCAGGACAGGAAAAATTGCTATAGTAGTTCCAGTGATAGTGCTGGATTTGCTTCAAAGGTAAGTTTGCCTTACAGTATTTCTCCATGGGGTTCAGAGAGCTATAGTTCTAATGCCCTCTAAATAATTGTCCTTACAGTGACTTTTACGATTGCTACTTTATGAGCTAGTTTACCATCAATAGCATTCTTGGGCCAAAATCTGCTCTTTTGTATATGAGTGCAACTGTGAAGTCCTTGTGCGTGTGAAAGCTTGTATTTTCTTGATGGAAGTGCTGTATTGTGGAATCTGCTAAAAGCTGATAGTTGCATCTTTCCTAAGCGTTGCATGCTGTGGAGAAACTCAGATACTTGAATTTTAATTATATATTTTATACATAAATAATTGTCTGTCAGTGATGCAAATGCCTTAGAGCAGAACCTACAGAAAAGGTACTCAAAGGCATTTGCAGAAAAGCTTCTCAGCTTGGAAAAATAAAGAGAAGGAATGCTCTGTTACTGTGAGCCTGGAAACCGCTGGGGTGTAGATGCCTAGTTTGGCAATAGATACACATCAGGCTTTGTCTTCAGACACGGCATTTGTTGCCAACTGGTGCACAATGCCAGCCTAAAACAATAAAATAACACTCAAGTTGTCAGGGGCTTTCTTTATATAGTTGGCTGCTAAAGCTGTTTGGAAAGGTCAAAAATTTCACATCTGACACAGCTAAGGGGCTAATGTAGTTTACAGATGAGTCTTTAATCCTTCAAGAATTTCATATTTGAACAGACCCTGTGTTCATACTACTTCTTTGGGATAGGTGTAAGTCTGAGCTTTTGAGCAGTTTGGTTTGTAGTACATAGAACTTGACAACAGTGGGAAATTCCTTATTTTCTTTGAATATTGGCTCCAAGCAATAGCTTATACAAAGACGGTCTAGATTTCATATATAGCATAACGCAACTTCTAAGTGAAATTTCACTGTAATGGCTATCTAAGCCAGTTGTAAGTTTGAGAATTTGTATTGACCAATTATTTTGCTAAAATCCTCAGTATCGATTCATAACTTAAGTAATCTCTGTGAAGAGAACAGAAGATGACTCTGTGTTCTCAGATCTTTGCCAAAGCTGCATTGTAAGTGAAGGGTTTTTATTGAGAGATAGAAAGGTCATTTTGAAGTTATTTAAATAGGTGGAATGTTTCTGATGATCACATTGTACTGGAGATCCATCTCAATGATGAGATGGCACCAAGCTCAATGAGCTTGGTGGCACCCAGGTATGGCAGGGGATGGGGGGCCACTTACGGTTATGTCTCTTCCTGCTCTGGAATTATGAAGGCCACCTTCCCAGAACTCGTGCCTTTGTGACTCCAGATGATCATCCCCCTTCTGTTCCTATTTCAAGATTTTGCACATGACACCATGAAGTTTTGAAGTCTTAATATTCAAAGCCCCAGAAGTCCCTTCCGGGAACGCTATCCTTTGAGAGTACTGATCCTCTAGATTGCATGTGTTGTCTTATCTAGGGATGGGAAGCAGTGATGAGTGGTCTGATGTTCAGGACATCATAGACTCTACTCCAGAGCTGGATATGTGTCAAGATCCCCGCCTGGAACGCACCGGTAACAGGTATTGGTTGTGATTTTCCACTGTTTAGTCTGGCTTTGTGAGGGGTGAAGAATGGATGCTGTGGCTCGCACTGAGTTCAAGATGCAGCTCTTTGCTTAATCCCATACATTCTCCTTGGTGGAAGTATGAGGGGTTCAGGTCCTCGAGAGAAGGAAAATGTCAGCTAGATGTCTGGTAAAAAGCTGTCCAGCTGACCCAGAATTGGATTCATTTGAGACAGGATAGTTTGCCTTGCTGGATCAGGGAGGACGGGGAAACATAGCATCAGAGGTTTGAAGATGGGAAAAGGGGACAGAGGCTTAAGTCTTCAAGGAGAGGAAAAAGATGCATTTGCCTAATAGGAGATCAGTTCTGAATTCAGTTTTAAAACTCAACATTTTTTCAATTTTACTTGCTGTAAGTGTCAGGGAGCAGCAAGAGCAGGGGGTGGGGTTGACCCCAGCACAGGCAGTGCCCTCACTGACACAGGTGCAGTCCTGCAGGATCTGAGCAGGATGCTAATAACTGTCTGCATCAGCAACCCCAAGGAAGATGAGGGAATGCGTTAGGGCCAGGGACTATCCAGGAGCAGCAGGAGACAGGACTAAAGACAGATATAGCATAGCTCAGATAAGAATTAAAGGCCCAGGCCTGAGCTTATATGGAGCCCTTGGACCAATGGGCAGAAGGTGTGTGGGTGGTCCCAGGTGAGGCTAGTCAGATATTGCTGTGGTTCCTGTCTATAACTCATTTTGTGTTGGATAGGAGGCTCCTTAAAGGATGTTAATTTTGGCACCACATTTCTATGAGGCAGCTCTTATTCTAGAATTATCAGTCTAAGTTCACTGATTAATTTTTACCAAGGTCTGGTGGGTAGTTTTACAGGGTTTCATTAACTTTACCCTGCTCTAGGTCTTAATTCAGCAGTGCACCAGTGAAACCAAGCCCCAAACTCTTACAGGTTATGCATGAGATTACCCTGACAAAGTCAAGGCGAGATTTTCTCACAGTCTAAATCTGGACTGGATTCCCACCTGTTGAGCACCCTCATCTAGAGGTGTATGTGAACAGAGATAAAAGATGCATTTCTCAGTTGCGTATCGGTATATAGTGGTCATAGTTTGGACTAGACTGTATTTGCAATTAAGCTCCCCTCAGAATATATAGGATATATGGGCAACTTTTAGAGTCAGCAGCAGGAAGAATCCAGGTAGCTGAGCCAGCTCTGCGAGAGGAAGATGAAAGTGGCCGATGGGATAAGACTAATGATCAGTCTGAACCTGAGGAGAAAGGAATGGAGAACATTGCTCCACTAGGAGTTGTTTAGGCAGAGTAGTCTGTGATCCAGGTAGAGAGACTGAAAAGCCACAGGAAAGAGACACAAGCTAACTGTGGAGCTGCTGAACAGTGTGCTGAACAGTGTGCTTGCTGCTTTCAGACCAGAATGCTTTCAAGAGACATACAGCTTCTGAAAGCTAATTGCTAAAGATGGTCAAGCTGGATTATGTCTTCAAATTAGAGCTTGGTTGCTTCTTGTCATGTGTGGCTGTCCATTAGGCAGTGTGTGAACTAATTAATTCTGATGCAGTCACGGCACCCATTTGTAATTCCTCAGTGCTCTCAGGCTGCTCTCTGTAGTTAAAAAAACTCCTTTTCCTCCTTTTTCTGTAGCACATTGTACTCGTGAGGTATCAGAGACAGCTATCACAACACATTTGTAACTTCCAGGCTTGATCACTGAGACTTGATTTATGTGAGAAGAAAGCCACACAACTGGAGCTAACCTCCAGTGGTACTAATATTTCTGTTAGACTGCTGGAAACTTTGCTCAGCGTCTCTTCCTGCTGGCTGATTCCCCCCAAACAATGCGGGGCATTTAAAAATCTTTATACCCACCTTAATGCCCATTCTTGGCATATGCACCGATAATCCCAGAGGTGGCTTCCCCCTCTGTTATGGTAACCTCCCACAACAGCTCTTTTCTGTGTGAACCATAGGACTGTCAAGAAATACAAGATTTTTGAAGGTAGAAAAGAGACTTAAGATGTGGGAATGTGCTCCTGTATGATATGATTAGATAGCATTAGATCTGCAAATTCCAAAGTTCTTCTCTTTGATTTGCTTTTACTGAAATAACATTTTACTAACATGTGAATAAGCATTCATGCATATGAACTGACCCAAAGAAGAAACTAACCATTCAGGGTGCTTTCAATTACTAGTTGGGAAAGAACAGAGAAAATGATTGTTGTTTGCAACATTTGACTCCTTATCTGATCTTAGTGCTATAAAAGGTGCTATCTAGATTGATAGGCACGTGGGAACCATTGCACAGTCTTAAAAGTCAGACTTGAGAGCTTCTGTGAGTTAAAAGTTTTCCATCAAATACTTAATAGTCATAAATTATGATCTGGAAAGGAATCAGCTAGGCCAGCTTTGCTGAGGTTGTGCATGATAAGTACTGCCAAGTAGCTTGATATGAGGAATGAAATGTGTTTTTTCCTTTCTTAATACATTCACTGAGTCGGCCCATGGTGCAGAGGTATAAAGCTTTCAGTGTTTTAAATGCAACGGTCTGCGATGCTCAGCATTTCAGAGAGGAATGTGCTAGCTTAAATGCTGCCAAGTAACAAGAGTCCTTGCTTTTTTTTCTTCCAACAACAGCCCGACACAGGGGATTGTGAACAAGGCATTCGGCATCAACACAGACTCTCTGTATCATGAACTTTCCACGGCAGGGTCCGAGGTTATTGGGGATGTTGATGAAGGAGCAGATCTGCTAGGTAAAAACCTGCTAGAACTCTTCTGTTCTCTCTGGTATAGTGAAAACTATGCAAGGCTTTTAGAAGTATTTAAAATCTCTTTTTTTCAGAACTTTGGATCTGTGCCCTTTAACAATGACGTGAAATTTGGGGCATACTGTGACTGAAATATGTACCAGCAATACAGTAATATGTACTTAGAAATTAATTTAAATGGTTGGGTAGCTTTAATTTGGGTTGTCTTTATGTGCATAGGTTATTTTTGTATGGGATTCTCCTGCACAAATGCTTCAACGACAAAGCTTGCTCCTTCCCCTTCCTCACCCAAATTTTCTCCCCAATAATCCTGCACAGTAGCAACTTCCCTTAGAATAAAGCTTTTGTTTGAAGTCTGCAATAAAGTAACTCCTTTTGTTAACTTTTTGAAGTTCTAACAAACAACATTTCTTTGTTTTCATATGGAGATATTATGGTCTGTATTGTGCCTTTTATCCTTTTATAGTCGGTCTGAGAATGTAATCGCTTCCTAGGCTGATCTTGAAAGGAGTTTGTAATATCCAAAGACTGGTTATATTCCGCATTCCTGACTAGGACTTTGAAGCAGTCAGAGAAGCAACTTCGTTTTCAGTTGCAGTCTGAGCCCTTGCCATACCTTTTGATGTTGGTCTCTGACTTCTAGACTGTAATTCGTGGCAGAATTTAAGCGTGCTCTTTGTCCTGTCGAATGTTTTCCTGAATCAGGACGCTATGAGTGAGGTTTGAATGCTCAGACAGTGCAGGCAGCTGATAAAGTTCAAAACTGTGTAGCTCACTTTCAGGTTTGCTGCTCTATTTAAGGAGCCTTAGGAGACATGAGGACAAAGTATCTTTCATGCAGTGAGTAGCAAGAGATCTGATTTGAAAGCATACATTTCCTTTCTGGTGATTACTGACATAAGAGCTGCTTATGGATTATCTCATAATTGGTTCTGGAAAGACAGTTTTTACTGAAGAGCTTTTGGATATAAATCCAGAACAGGATCAGCTGAATCACATCAAAGAATTGCTGCAGCTCATCTTTGCAAGACTTAAAATTGCGAAGATATTTACATCACCTTTGAGCATGATCCTGCACGAAGACTCTCTGAAGGGGTGTATTGCTGCAGAGAAGATTTTTAGCCTATTCACTGATGACTTGACTGTGAAGGAGGGGACTGAAGGCTGAAAAGTAGGCTAGTCCAGTGCTGTGTGCTTCATCTTGTACAGAATCTCTGAAATTGGTATTTTTATAGACAATTTTGTAACTTTGAGATGTAAGAACAAGATACAGATTATCACCAGGACTCCTGCAATAGCTATTTGATATAGGTAGATTTTTACTTTTTTAGAAGCATGGTGTTAGCTCTGCAAGACAGCTGCTGTGTACAAGTCAAATCAAAGGAGTGATGACCTGATGGCCATTGCCTATAGTCTTCAGACATTTATTGTTTGACCCAAAATCAAGATTGGTGGAGGAAAAAAATCGATAGAAGTCTCCAGGTGAAAGCACAGGCTTTCTCTGCCTATGACTGGAGCCAACGTGTGCAGTTACTCTCAAAATTTGAATATAGAAGTTCTTAAGGAAAAGCTGGAGTTCCAGTTTTGAGAGTAACCTGGGTGTTAGCAGTCATTACAGAAGGGCTAGGAGTACTGCTCAGAGTGAAGCTGACAGTAAGAGTTAACTACATGTGAACGTTAAAGCTTCTTCTGCCCTGTGTGGTATGAACTTTGGTTAGCCAGCCCCCATACATCATTGACAACTCTCTTCATAGCAGAATCAAAGCATTACAGCCACTGAGAATCTTGCCATTGTCCAGCTATGTTTGTTCTTGGTTTTCAGGTGCTCTGTTATTAAGAGTGTGTGGTCTATTATATGGCAACCTGCCACTGATCATATACATCTTCTGTGCCAGCTGCTGCTTTCTTCACGCTCCCCAAAACGGCTGGGGCATCAGGGAATGTCAGCTTCTGGAAGGTGTTATTCAGAAAAATTACTTGCTTAGTATCTGAACTGCTTGAAACAGTTTATTTCCCACTTCCTGAAAGCCTGCCTTCCTGGAATCGGCTCACCGGTTGGATTACATCGAGATTCCTGTAGTCTGGCACAATGATCAATGAGAAATGGGAGCTGTTGTTTTCAAAGGGCCAAAGCTTTCAGTTGTCCAGTTGGAGACCTTGCAAGGTTGATCACTACAACTTCAGTTAAAGTCGAAGGTGCTTCATCTCTTAGGTAAAGCTGCTAAAGATCGATGACGTGTCTTGAGTCTTGAGACATCCATTGTTTGGGAGCTACCACTTCTAATAAAAATATACGGTGACTTTGCTGAACAGTGCCCCTGTAAGATTAGCTTATTAAGATCAAATTCCTTTCTATCTACCATCTAAACCACCACCTGCTCTAATATCCACAGGCCTAATTTTTACATTAAGTATAAAATTGCTTCCATATGTAGAGATAGTTTGTCCTTGCCAAATACATGGAAAGGAAGGGAGACTGTTTAACCTTTACCTTTCTTTTACTTAGAAAAAAATATATGTTGATCCCTCTCCATTAAGCATAAAAGCCAACCTTTTTCTCCAGGCTAACACCGAATTTTAAAACTCTCTAAAAGTTTCTGTGTTCTTCATGTGTTCCAAGTTCGCTCGCACAAAGCTACCGAAAAATACATTGAAGCGAACCCTTTGTTGCCATCTTCTAAAGAGATATGATGTGATACGTCACTTACCAGCTTTTCCATGCTGCTCCCTGGGACAATTTTCTGATTTTGAGCAGAGCAGCAGAACTCTTGCAGATTATCGCATGCTGGACCAGCAGAACAGGAAGGCTTCTCCCGATCCCTTTGCAAGTCTGGGAGATGAAATGGGGTGACATCAGTTAGTTCTATGAGTGTCCTGACAGAAATGTTAATCTAATTAATCCTTTTGTTGATTTCTGGCTGCCTGCACAGTCCTCAGACATCTTAAGTGTTCCTTAAAATTAACACACATGTGGCCAAGACTGTATTAAGGGAGGAAGGCAGGCAGAGATCTTAGAAACTAAATTTGTACGTTTCTTGGCTATGCGCAATGGAAAACACTAAGAATCTCTGCTAAAGCTGGAGGCTAGATCTCAGTACTGACAGATCTGTCAACATTATTCACCATTTTGTCTTTTTTTGTTGGATAGGTTGTTCTCTCTCTTCCTTCCATATCTTTGAATCTGAAGAGTCACAGAGGAAATTGTGCTATATGGCTGCAAAGTAAGCAACAAGACTCACATGCTGAAAGAGTTCTCTCTAAATCAGTGTTAGAGAGGTATTATTTCCTTTTGGACTCAGTTTCGTAAAGACAGAGAACTGTCATTAAAGAGGACTTTGAAATAAAAGGAGCTTACAGAAATTACTCTTGAGCAGTACCTGGAAGACGTGTCTGTTTCCTGAATGGAAAATCTCACTCTTGCCTTGTGGATATCTGCAAAGCTACCAACATCTCTTGGTACAAAATTGGCCCTCTCTAGTGCAGTTTTGGATTATACAAATTACAACTAAAGTCTGTTTTTATCACTATTCTAATACCTCTTTACATACATGAGTTCATATAGGATGTAGTTTGGAGAAAAATGTGGAATGAGAACAACTATGTACTCGTCATAATTGTTCACTGATTTCCCTTCTTTCTCACTACAGCCTTATGAACGGTCCTAGTATCTATTTGGCCTGTTTTCCTGCGTATTCATGTGTTAATCGCAGGTTATTGCAGTACTGATCCTGAGTACGTTCCCCCTTCTCTCATCTCCCCCTTTCCTGTTCTTCACTGTCCCATGAGAATCTGGACGTGAAGGCCAACTAGCCGTTTGGTTGTGGGCTGTGGGAGGTGCTTCCTTTCAGTTTTAGGATACCTGACTGTATTTGCTTTGGAGACTAAAACCTCCCTTCAAATAAACAGGGGTTTTGTGGTGAAGACAGAAATTCAGCCGTATTAGCGGTAAGTTTATATATAGTTTTTTTTATACAGAAGTTGAAATGAGATTACCAAACCCAGTCCTAACATCATGCATTATAAAAAACTGTTTTAAACAACTGATTGCCTTTTGCAGACTGAGGTATCCTTGAAGTACGTATTGATTCTGAGAAAATTTGGTTGCTAAACAAGGATTTGTCTTTTGCTCAGGAGGGGAGGGGAAATGAGGAGGTAGTGGAAATTAGCCATTGTCCTGCATTTAATGATATGATTGAGAAAATAAAGGTTTATCCAGTCCAGGAAGATGTGATCTCCTCAAATTGGTGTCTGAAAAACTGGGGGCAGCTAAGGCATGTGCTTCCAGTTGTACTGCAGGTTACCTTTCCTTGATTTTTTTACGTCCTGTATGTAGAATCATGCCATCTGCGGTCATGGCAGGTCCTGTCCTTACTATTTCATGCCTTTTGACATTGAAATGGCTGAATCATTGTTAATTTTTTTTAAAACAAAATTTTTATTTTGTTGGTTTCGGTCACTGATTGATCCTTTTTTCACTTCCTTTTTTTCCCTTGTCTCTCTGTGCTTCGCTGGACATGGCCCGTAGGGGAGTTCTCAGGTGTGTATCTCTCCTCCGTTCAGTTTCCTTCATTGTTTCTTTTTTCCTTGTCGAGATTGAATGACGTGGTATACACATGTGATACTCCCCTGCTCTTGTCCACTCACGGTTGGCTTTGCGGACTTTGTCCCGCCTTTGCCTTGCTTGGTTGCCTTGCACTGGTGGGTCCCCAGACAGTAGGACATCGCTGCTTTGTGCTCACGTGCTGCTACATTTTGATAAGCTTTTTTTGTGGCTTTCTGCCAGTTTGCTCCACTATATTACACTGACCTGTCACTCGGGGTCTTGGGAAAACCCTGCTGTGCCTTTTTCTTTCTGTGGGGTGGAAAGTTTCTTTTTGTCAGGACGGGAGCTGTATTTTGAGTAGATCTCAGGTGGGCATGGAAATCAAAGTTAGATTTTCCATTTTCCTCCAAGTAAACAAAGCTTTGAGGAATCCCTCTGCTTGCATGATGCCCGTTACAGGTCAGTTAGTGCATACTGGCCCTTTTCTGGAGTCGCTGTAGTAAAATTAAAGACAGTTCATTTCTTTCTCGATGGATCAGTGAATGGCAGAGCCTCTGCCTTTTGCTGAAGCTTTGTCTTTCGGGCAGAAGTTTGAAGTGATATCTCTGTCATCTTTTATTTTTGTGAAAGAGGCTGACTACGTTAGGGCCACGCTCTGCCATCAAGGTCCTGCACTTGCAGAATTTTCACATTTCCATAAAACGCACTTGGGCCCTGGTACAATTTCAGATGAAGTCAAGGGGCTCTCTCTTGATTTCAGTGCAAGCTGGATTAGGTCTTCTCTATAATAAAGGCAGGTGACTTGCACAGATATAGGATGTTGAAAGGCACAGCATAATATTATGCAGCGATTAACTCTGTCATGTGCCTCTGCCTACAAACTGGGGAGGGCTCACCACCTCTTGGTGCTGGGTCTGTGAGGTTAAAAAAGAAAGGGATGATATCATCCTTTCTCTTAGCTCAAACTTTTTTACTCTAAGCTACCTTATCCTGGTCCTCTCTCAGAAAACCTGCCACTGAAGTTTAGTTGGAATTTCTCTGAGTAAGAAAATGGATTTGAGCCTGTGCAAAAAGGCCAAATACGAGCTTTGTTATTTTTCCGCTCACCCTGTTATTTTTCTCTCCCCCTTGTCTTTCTCTCACCCTGTTCATAATGTCTGTTCAGTTGCCTTTGTTGTGGGGGTGGTGAGCCCAAAGGTGGTTAGTCCAGGCAAAATGATGAAGATGGAAGAAAAATAGGAGCTCAAGTTGAGCTTGTTCTGAAATCTTAGGTGTAAATCCCTGCAAGGCTGGGTTGAAACAAAACAGGGTGTAGGTTAGTTCCTACTGAGCATCACAGCATATGCTGGCACCACACACACACATGCTTACACATGCTGACGAGCTGCACTGTTTGCTATTTACAGATCAGTACTTAATGGCTGCTTTTTTCTCTTCCTTTCTCCCCCTTTGTCCCCATCTCTTTCTGTTCCCTTTCTCGTATGGGATGGCTCTCATAGTACGGGATGATTTCTTTGGTAAGGCGAAGGCCATCTTTTTTTTAAACATCCATTTTTTTTTTCCTAAGTTTCTTCTGTTCACCCCACATCTCTCCATATGTGTTGCGTTACCTTGGTTTGTTTTTTTTGTGATGATGGTGTCACCTCTCCAAGAAGCAGGAGGCAGCTGATCCATGCCACTAGTTTGGGGATTTTCTTAATTTCTTGATGTAGTTGATTATCCACTTTGATGCTTCAAACTATCTGGATATGGGAGGTGCACAATGTAGCATGGCTCTGTAAGACATGGCTCTGTCCAGACCTCCCTTCTCTTTGCTCCGAACTACAAAGAGGTGAAGAGTTCTTCTAGTCACTCCACAGTGTTTCCTTCCCACAGGTAGGGCTTTCCCATTACAGCCTACATGAGGTTATCTCATAGTATTTGCCGTGCTGCTCTGGGATGGCTCAATCCATTTCTTTATTGCAAGACCTCTTCGTACTGCTCACTGATTAAAGCATCTGGCCATGACTATGTTACACGCCAATGAGATAGAAGTTGTTGTGGGGATGCTGATAGTTTGGAAACTGCGTGGCTTTTACGCCTAGGCTGATAGCTCACCCGCCTCACCAGAGTTCCTTTCTCTCCCAGAGATAAACCCAGAGAGTGATAGCTAACTTGAGAACGGGAATGGAAAAAGAATTAGTCCAAAAAAAACGAGAGAAGAACACTTCCTCCGTATGCCCCTCAGCACCTGGAACTTATTTATGCTATCTTAGCGTTTTAGTGGATAAATACTTGTTTGATCATCAGTAAAAGGGAATAAGAATATTGTTTAATGAGCAGATGTCTGTATCCTGTGACCTCTTGGTTCAAACAACATATGCCACAGCCGATAAAATGAATGAAAGGACTGTAGCTCATTCACCTTCCCACACCACAAATACACTTTTAGTTTACACAGCTGTTATTGTCTCCCGCTTTTTTGCTATTTGCAGAATTCTTTGACACAGCATCAAAGAACACATTTCCTGAAACATCAAAGTGATTAATTATCTCTCTACTGATTTTTTTAAATGTTATTTGAAAACGCTGCTTCTTATTCATCCTTGCTGGGAATTCGCTTTTGCCATCATAAATTCATCCCATCTAACTGTGGGACGAGGATCTGTATGTTGGAGTGTTGTGATGTGTTCTCACTTCTTGTATGCTACCATGTTTCTCTAACTTTCATTTACTTCAAGTTTGTGTTGTTTTTATTTTACTGTAAAAATTAATCAGCAAATAATTGATGGTGAAAAATACTGATGTCTTTGCTGTAAAGGAAGAGGTAGTTGAGGAGGGTAGGACAAGAGGAACTTAAGCACAAACTGTGACGGTTGTGAGACTTCTTTGTGCTCTGGGACCTGCGGTGAGGAATGAGCTGCAACCTTCAGTACCGTCCCCTAAAAGGGAGAGGGCTCTTTGCCTTTAGTTCTCAGGTGGCCTCTGTTCCCTATTGTAAAGCAGAAGCTGATTCTGGGATGCAGCAGATCCCTGCCAGCAGGAAAGAGTCCAGATGTGCTTTTGGTCCCCAAATTTTTTTCAGTCTGGTTTTAAGAAATTCAGCCTTCACACTTAAACACCCAGATTTTTCAAAGGGTTTGCAACCCTGACGTGCATATGCGGTTGTCATATGTTCAAGCGCAAGGGGAAGTGCAATGCATCCGATGTAGACATTTTTTTGAGGGTGGACTGAGACTTCAGATTCATTTAAACACCTGTGAGAAAGCTGTTGAAGGTAAATAGTAGAGATGCACAATCTGAAGTCCTGGTAAAATTGCAGTGATGGAAGGCTGATAGTGGATAGCCTTTCGTGTGTGCAAAACTGGCTACAGCAACCATGATCAGAAATCTGTACTGAGAAACAGGAAATTTGGTTTATACTAAGAAAGGAAATAAAACATGGATGTGCAAATACGGCCAGCAGTTTGGACAGTGTTCTGCGGTGCTCTGTGAAGAACCCATGAACTGCTAGCTTCTTCCTGTATGAGTAATGATAGAAAATGGTTGTAATAGCTCATGGCTGAACCAGGAGACATTGACTTAACTTCCCCCACCAGCATTAGTGAAGTGCTCTCCTTTATCCCTCTGAAAGGAGTCTGTGAAAGTTTAGGGAAGCAGCTAGGTCTGCATTTGTGCTCTTTACAGAAAGAACACATGGGTGTCTTTGCTTGTGCTGCATGGTCTTACAGCAGCAGGCATGCCGCTCTCTGCAGCAGAACACAGAAGTGTAGGGAATCCTGACAAAGTGATTTCTCTTCCTCAAGTGCGAGTCAATCAGTGTCACACAAGCTCCATATTTCTAGGAGAGCAGATGAAAACTGCCTGGCCTTTCTTTTCAGGAATGGGCAAAGAAGTGGGGAATCTGCTGTTGGAGAACTCACAACTACTGGAGACCAAGTAAGAAACTGCTGCATGCTCTGAATTTCCTGTGTAGTTATAAATGAGCTGTTATCTTGAATTCAGTCTTGGCCAAAACTCCTGCCTCACTGAGGCTTGCTTGTTTATCTAACAGCTTCTCTTGAATAGTGCTTGTTCTTTGAATTGTAGAAGAGGAATTCCTCTTCTGAGTGACTTTCTTAACTGTTTCTTTTCTGCAGGCACTTGGGTGAAGTCTCCACACGTGCTGATAGGGTCTGATCCCACCTGAAGTCAATGGCAAGCTTTTCATTAACTTCAGTGGGAGTCTAGATGTGGGCCTAAGTGACCATGAGGATATTGCAGTTTAGAAGCTTTTATCTGCAAGGTTTGCTCTTTGGAAAGAAAATTATCTCTCAATTTACACAGTCAAAGACTTTTCAAAGATGTAATAGTTGATAAAGGAGAGCTGGACAATGTAATTGGCATATCCTTTGAGGAAGGCTAGCAAACCAGGTAGATAGTAAAAGAGCTAAGTAGCCATGGAGAGGGAGGCGAAGTACTCCCAGGGGTCAGAGTTGAAGAACTTATAGGAAGCTGCTGGTTTTAAAGACTCTTAAGATATTTCAGAACTGATTGGAAATGCATATATATATATATGTATATATGTATGTTATATCACCATCATCCACAATTATCAGTAAGTACAGATAAAAGAACATTTGAAAGGTGTGTCTCAGATCTTAATTTAGTCTCTATTAAAAATAGGAATAAACTTCAGGCAGGTGATAGGTTTACCTATACCTACTTTTTGCGGTATCCTGCTATCTTCTGTGGAGTATCTGATGTTGGTAGACCATCAGGATACAGGACTGGACAAACCTCATCCTGACCCATTGTAGTGATTTCTAAGTCATTCCGGAGCTCCTTCTTGACAAAATCAGCTTTTGCATGAATTCTAGCTAGACTGAATTATTTTAATTAACTCATTGCAAATCTTCTTGTAGTGCCTGTGACCTTAGTTTCAGATCTCTGTTATGGACAGCTGCTGGTTATAGGCATTGTTACTTATTGTTCCTTTCACACCTTTCAGAAATGCTTTGAACGTTGTGAAGAATGATTTGATTGCCAAAGTGGACCAGTTGTCAGGAGAGCAAGAAGTGCTGAAGGGAGAACTGGAGGCAACAAAACAGGCCAAAGCCAAAATGGAAATAAGAGTCAAGGAGCTGGAGGAAGAGCTGAAAAGGTGAGAGATTCACACACTGCTCCAGGGAGTTGGGAGAACTTGGATGATAAACCTGGCTCCTCTGTTAGTTTAATTCCTTTTCCCTCAGAGTTTAGTATTGGAATTCAAAGGTATCTCACAGAGAGTTTCAAAGGCAGATGGTAGGTGGCTGAGGTTTTTTTTAAGATTGTCTTTATTTGTTTGAAATGGGTTATTGAACCTTAAAAAACTTGCAGAACTGGGAAAACATCCCCCCCCATTCATTAGTATTCCTTAGCAGTAATTGCAAATCCAGGCTGGCTGGAGTGAACCTTTCAGAAAATCAAACTGTAATAGGGGGGAAATTTCTAAAAGAGTAGTTCTGAAGGAAACTGTCAAGAGTTTGATCCTGGCAGCAGCCAAGATAGTTCTGAGAAGGATGAATGCGCATTCATTTAATGAAAGAGCTAATACAGATTCCCAAAAACAATATTTAAATGTCAGTATTGTTAATTATTCCTTTGTTCATGGTAAGAGTGAGAAGGAAAGGCAGAAGAGATTTTAGTCCTATGTGGGTAGCATTCGGAGGGATCCCACTTCTTATTTTCCACTCAATCTAGAGAAATTTAAGCCTGAATGCCTAGCAAAGCCTGGTCATATCACATCCATAAAGCTAAAATTGCCAGTAGGGCTCAGAGCTACATAATTACATTTTGACTAGCTGTATGTTCCGCTGTGAAATCTCAATTCAGAGAGCAATGTTTATTCTGCAGCTGGAGTCTGGCAGGATTCCCCTGTTATTTTCTAATTTGAACACAGCATCTCTAAGAATGACACAGACTGGTCTGTCTTCATTGTTCAAAATGTCTGAAATGAAAATAGTCTCACAGGCAGTGGAATAGATCCGATTTCTTGAAATGTCGTTTTGAGCATCTCATAATGTAATAATGCAGTAGGGACATAGGCTTTTAACTGGCTGGTGTACCTTTTTAAGAGACAAACAGCAGTTTTTTTCCGTGGTGTCTTTGCTGTCAACAAAAATACTTGTAATTCAAATGGGAATGAAGCTGAGTATGGGTTTTTAAAGAAATTAAAGGCACTCAGAAAAATACTGTAAATATTTTATTAACATGTATTTGGTGTTCCCTTTCTCACCATTATAGCAAAATGTCCTTCACATTTGGGTCTTTTTCACTGCGTTGAAAACAATGAAAACAGTCTGGAAGAAGAAATTAAGTCAGCATTTTGATTGCTGAGCATGGTTCGGTGTTTTTTTGGTTTTTTGGTTTTTTTTTCCGTTAAGATCTGTCTGAACATAGATGGTGACTCTGAAATAGAAATTGGCTGGTCCATTCCAGTGACCAGTATTTTGGGGCCCAGTTCTTACATCAGATATTCCAAAGAAATGGGCTGATGTAGGTGAAGCTATCCATAAAGTAACATGGTGCTAATGTGAGAAAAAAATATCAGAGAAGTTTCTCATTGTTTGGAGGTACAACTCCCGTTTTGAAAATGTTGCCCTGCAACGCATCTTGACGTTTCTGTAGATGATTCTCTCCCCAAAACATCTCATGGTCAGCCCAGCAGTAGCAGTCACCACATCACTTGCTGGTTTGATGCATTTCTTCCTGTTTCCTAGAGTGAAATCTGAAGCGATTGTTGCCCGACGAGAACCCAAAGAGGAGGTGGAGGATGTAAGCAGCTATCTCTGTACAGAATTGGTATATTACATTACTAAAATGCCTGCGGGGAAAGGGGGTTTATATACTTATTCTATATTACTTTGCATATATGAGTCCTCAGATGCAGACTGTTCTGCTTTTGTTAACGATGAAGGCAAAGCTGGTCAGCTGCAGGTTATCTTGATATTTGGCAGTAGCCAGATGCCATGAGATTACCGTGGCATACGTCTTTCAAACCATGGTTTGGCAAAGACGAGTGTGTGACACAGTAAGGACACAACGCAAGAGGTTTCTACAGAGTGGTGCTAGACCAGTGACCTGCCCAGCACCTTCCCATTTTATCTGGTTTTCCCCACTTTTGAGTTACAGATAATCTAATGTGGAATCTGATTTCACTCAGGGTCTTGTGATAGTTAGGCTTCTCAAGAAGAGCTTGTCTCATGTTGGCCGTGAAGCTGTAAGCTGTGAGGACTTAATGCAGTGAAACTTGGGTTACTGCAGGCAGCTTTACAGTAATAGATGCCTTCATTTTAATAGCTTTACAATCTCCAGTTTTGTGACATTGTTTTTCTCGTTAATTTCTTCTGCATAAGCCAGTACTGCCTCTTACAGGGTACAGGTAGAAAAGACTGATGGACTCTCCCCCAGTGACAGCTCTTCAGAGTGCTTTGGCTGAAGTAGAGGCTTTTCTACAAAGTCCAACTGTAGCCAAAAAAGAAGCAAACAGAGGATAACAGAGATATCCCCTGTAAATATCACCTCTGCTAAGGCAGGGAATTAGATCCTCTTCTTTTCAATAGTACTGTGTTCCTACTTCGTGAAAGATATGGGGCCAGTTTCATTTCTAGCATAATGGTCTTGACTTAAGTGGGGTTATACCAGGGGGAACTTAGTCTATTGAGAATCTAAGTAGATAGGAAGATGTTCAAGTTGTTCTTGTGGACTGCTGAAGAGGACTGGATTCCTTTTGAGCTGAGCTGACAGGAGGTCTGTGTTTAAAATATGAAAAGGATAGTCTTAAATTCGTTTTCATGTGCATACTTCCTATTTTGGCGGGTCATATAGGTTTATTCTAAGTCCAGGAGGCCGAAGAGGGGGGTTGGCTAGTTTGTGCTATTCCAGCTCTCTGCAGTACTGCGTCAGGCAGGCTGAGTTTGGGAGTTGCCACAGTCTAGACAGAACCCAGTGATACTTCCTAGTAGTGAGTTTCCAAAATCCTTATGATTTCTTTTTGGGCAGGTATTTTCCCCAGCTTATCCAAGTTGCTCTCATTTCTCTCCTCAAAAGATGAATACAGAATCCCATTCCTGTTGCCTCCTAACCCAAAGCCGTGTGTCTTCATTAGAAGGCCAGATTGTCACCATCCCAGGGGATCTAGGGATGTAGGGGTGCGAGGCAGTAGTGCAGGAATGACCTTGAGAACAGCAAGATTGCAAGGAGTTTGGAGAGAGAAACTAGCTGGGGCATGTCCTTTCTTGGTAACCTTCAGGACATCTTACATGAAGACTCCCCATATGAGAAAGAGATATTTGGAGTCCCTTGGTGATCTTTTGGATGCAGAAGGGTTCCTGAGTACTAATTTTGTATGAGTCTTGCAATTCCAGAGAGTCATTGTTTCTAGGCTTGCAAATGATCACACAAAACATTGGAATTGTAGATTTTCAGGGCTGAATTTTAAAAAGCTTTGTGCATATGTCACACTAACTAAAGCCTAAATTCTCTGAACTCTGAGTGAGCAGTCTGAGTGTTCTGGACCTAATGAACTGTAAAGTGTTCCACCTTGTCCTTAGAAATGGTTTTCCAAAACTATTACTGATAATCAAGCACCATCTTTAAACCAGGACACTTCCCCTGTCTATGTGAACGTTCAGGGCTGTAGCACCAGTTAGCTAGGGAAATAACTGAACCTGGGAATTTGAAACATGTGCTTTTATCCATGCTGCACAGTGGTTAGCAGGGGGAAACAGCCCTCAGCCATATTCTGAGAATGAGCAGGTGAGTTGTGTCATGCCAGGTAAAGAGGAAAAGGTCTTTCTTTAGTTTCCTGTGCCCTACACCTTTATCTGCGTAGTGCGTACTAACAGAATGCCTCCTTCCTAATCCTGTGGAGGGGACGGACAGCATTACGTGCTCCCTGCTGCTTGTGATTAGATTTGCTATGAAACCTGTTCCACTAAGACTTTGGTTCCCAAACTTCCTGGACCAATGGACCACTGTCAGCTCTCCAAATTCCTTGTAGACCACCAAAGCATCTTATTGATAATACTCTCTGGACAGGATTTACAATTCGGTGGTGGATGTTACTCTATTTTATATGGGTTTATGGAACACCAAGAGGTCCATGGGACATAGTTTGGAGATCACTGGTCTAGAACTAGAACCTCACGTGGGGAAGGCAGGGGGTAATTAAACAGAACAGGAAGAGAACTAACAAGTATGTCTTTCTGTCTACTGACTTTCCCGGTACTAACATCAATCCCCTTCCGTTTTTTGTTGGCTGAAGCAGTGCTCCTCCCCTCTGCAGGACAACATTCCCATAGCTCAGCGTCGCCGCTTTACACGTGTGGAAATGGCCCGAGTTCTAATGGAACGCAATCAATACAAAGAGAGGTTGATGGAGCTCCAGGAGGCTGTAAGGTGGACGGAGATGATCAGGTGAGGCTGGGTGCTGGTGAACAATTTCATTTAGGACAGAACCTGGCCGTGTTTGGCCTTGTGCTCAGTGGAGCCTTTATGAAGATACTGAGTTGAGAAGTGCTAAAAGTTTTCCAAACTGTAGATGCTTCACTTGTAATGCCTAGTTCTTTCTTATTCCTGTATCTGGACTGCAAATCAAGACTAGAGTTGCCACAGTTACTTGGAGACACTGAGCAGTTGTCTGTCTTGCTTTTTTTGTGTGTGCTAATTAGGCTAGGGGAGATGTAGGGGAGAGGGTTGCTTTTAATTAATGAATTCCTTTGACTGTAGCTATAAATGGAAATAGTATCACGGTTTGTAATTACCAGGGTGTGACTCTGTCACTGGTAAGGTTGAGGGGCGTTGAGATAAAACTTTGAATTTGACAAACTTATTTGCACTTCATATGAACATTGAAACATAAACCTGCTAGGTGTGCTCCCATTGAAGACGACTGTATGTCACTTGCTCTGTTTTGTTTCGAAACGTCGTTACAATGAATTTTGGGTTTTCACATAGCTTCCTTGATGGAAATGGCCTGCTGCTTGGCATAAACTTGGGTAAAAGATACTGAAATGAACTTGCATCTGCTGTGTTTATCCTTAGAGCTTCCCGTGAGCACCCATCCGTCCAGGAGAAGAAGAAGTCCACTATCTGGCAGTTGTAAGTCCGTTGGTGGTTTGTTTAAGATTAAGAAAAGGGGAAGTGTCTCCATTTCTACCTTAAACATCAACTTAATAGACTCTTACTCTGGTGTTAATGAAAGATCAACTAAAAGTGTTCTTAGCTGAACTGTTTGACTACATGGGCTTCCTTTGTCTTTAGTTAAAATAAAATCAGCTCTGAACATTCTTACCAGTTTGGTTTTACAAGCTCGAAAAGATTACAAGTGCCTAAGAGCAAATACCTGAAATGGAAAAATACATGCACTCATAACAAATAAAGTAAGGCTATTCTCATGAAGGGCTTAAAGCCCCTAATTTTGTACCTCTTGCTTCCTCTGCTATGTTAGATTATCTCCCCAAGCTGCTTTTCTCTTATTTGCTGGCTTTTCCTAGCTTCAGCCGTCTGTTCAGCTCATCCTCAAGTCCCCCACCAGCAAAGAGGACCTACCCATCGGTGAACATCCACTACAAGTCTCCGACAACAGCAGGGTTCAGCCAACGTCGCAGTCACACCATGTGCCAGATCTCCTCCGGCAGCCGCACTCTTGAATTCTTCCCTGAAGAGTGAGTCGTGTGCTATGTGCAAAGCCAGATCCCCCAGCAACTCTGCCAAATAAAAGCCGGCTTTTTTTTAAATAAGCTGTTTTCCACTGAAAAAAGTCCAAGTGGCATTAATAAGTTTCTGTCTCTTGTGTTTATCCACTTGATCTTTCACTCATCAGTTACCACACGGATGGGCTCAGCGATTGCTTTCTCGGGCTTTCTAGGCCATGATGAGTCATCTCAGCAGGGTCCACTGTAGGCTTCAGAGTTGGCCTCAACCCAAAGTTTTGCATTTGTGTTTGGAGGCTGTGTGAGAATGAAGAAGGGCTTTTGTGGTAGAGCATGATGGCAGCATTGGGAAAGCAGGAGGAAGTATCTTTGCCCAACTCTGTTGACAAAGAATTTAGGTGGAGACAAAGGTTTTCTCAACAGCGTGTTTAGGTTATAACATTTGGCTTTAATCCTAACTACACAGAAAAAGAGCTTCTAAATATTGCTACTGCAGCGTCCTCTCTCTTTCTTTTATGCCTCTGATAAAAGAGAAAAAACTATTTTCTGCTTTATTCAACTTTAAATTGCGTGCATTGCACCATTGCGAGGTTTTACTGTTTAGTTTGTGATCTGTTTTTGTATAAGGACTTTGGAGAATGTGGTAGTAAAGTTGGTTGGAAAGGCACTGGACTGAGTGGAGAGGTTTTCTTTGGAGAGTGAATTTGAATTTTATAGATACCCACTGCTTTTATTCTGTTCAGTTCAACTCTAGTTACAATATCACAGTTATCATGTGGTGTCTGAGTGCTTTCCAGTAGTGCATTAAATAATGTGACTAACCACGGTCAGAAGCTGTTTGTTCTTATCCTCTCCCCAGGAGAGGAAGCATGTACAAGGGACCATTTTGTTTTAGTGGGGGTTTGATTTTGTTTTAAGTATGTCATTTTATATATATATATATATATATATTTGTGGAGGGGTTTTTGTTTAGTTTGGATTTTTTGCTGATGTTGTTTGTACCTTGGAATGATATTTTAAAAACCTATTTAGAGCTGGAACTAACGTTCAAACAGCCTTTGTTTATAGTAAAACATATCCTAAGAGCTCACAAATTGATTTTCTTCTTACCTTTGCCGGTGCAAAGCTGGAGTCATTCTGTGGAAACCAGTACAGTTAGTGCATATGTTCCTTCTCAGCAGAGAAAAATTTAAAATGGACGGAAAAATAAGCAGTTGACTGTAATGAAAAGTGGAAGAACTCAGAATGCCTTTCTGATGGAGGCATTAGATCAGTAAACTGAAACAGCTAAGCAAAAAGTGGTATGATCTCACAGATGGTTGTCGTCTTGAAGGTTGATTCCCTGTTTCTGAAGGGCTCTTGGAATACCGAAGTGGAGATGACCATTGTCCAGGTGACAGGGAATTAGACATTAGGGTTGCCTAGGTAGTTTTTCTGTCTGATTTCCTGCATCTCCTTTTCCGCTTGTGTGAAGATGGATTTGTTTTGCTTTGTATCCTTTGATTTCTTGTCTGTTTTTTCTTCTCCCTGCTATGGCAATGCACCTTCTACCTTGACCGTCTACCTCTATTTCTAACCATAGATTGAGAAGTAACACTGTTTCTTCTCTCCTCAGTGACTGTACATCATCAGCACGTCGTGAACAGAAGCGGGAGCAGTACCGCCAGGTCCGGGAGCACGTGAGGAATGATGATGGGCGATTGCAAGCCTGTGGCTGGAGTCTCCCTGCCAAGTACAAGCAGGTAGGGACCGCTTTCCATGTGAACATGTCATCATGTTCTCCATGAGAACATGTCATCCCATTCACAGTGATACCAGTGAAGATCTAATTCTATAGCCTTAGTTGTTAAATATTCCAGTTAGAGGTATAATGTGCATATTTATCTTTATGATAATTGTAGGCATAGATTAAATTTATCTTTTTTTATCTCCAGCTAAGTCTACAAAGGGGACATTCTTTTGCATGAAAAGCACTGAAAGAACCTAGCCTAAAATAAAAGGAATTAACCTTCTTCATTCAGAGCCCAGTACTTGTTTTTATTTCCTTTGTTTTTATACCTGAGGTTGCACAGTAGATATTTTATTTGTATTATGAGAACTTTTCCAATCATTTAGTATTATAAAAAACAAACTGTGTGGCATTTGCTCCCCGTTCTCCCCAGCAGCGCACAAAATCAAATGTCATCAGCCTCATTTGTTGGCCTATGGCTCATTTACCTCTGGTCAAAGATCACCTGAAAGGAATGAGTTTTTCATTGTGGCTTGAAAGTGAAGAAGTCCCCAGGCGATTTCAGGTTGTGATGGAAGGGAATGCCAGTGTTCTGTATTCCATGCAGGGGACATCCCTTAGCCACACTTTCCTTTTAGCAATGCAGGATATAGCCTGTGTTAACCATAATTGGGGCAACCTATTATGGTGAAAGAGACAGTCTCTCAGGTAGGCTGGTCCCATCTCTTTACGCACTCTGTTTCACACAAGATGTCGGATGAAGGATCAGCTGCCATTGGCACCCCGTCTCTGAGGCTGAGAAGTTTGATTTTGCCATCTCTGTTGCTGTAGCCTGGTGTATACTTGTACTGTCTTTTCCTTCTTCTCTTCCCCCACAGCTGAGTCCCAATGGTGGCCAGGAAGACACTCGGATGAAAAACGTCCCTGTGCCTGTATATTGTCGCCCACTAGTAGAGAAGGACCCAACCATGAAGGTTTGTTGTCTCTGCATACCATTCCAGTCCAGAAAGGGAGCGTGGAAAAAGCGCTCCCTAAATCACTAAATGTACAATTTTTTTTTTGTCATCACTAAATGTACAATTTTATAACTACATTTTTTACATGATATATTTCAAATCCCGTCTTCCTCTTCCTTTTTTTTTGGAATGGTTGTTTTCAGCTGATTCTGGTTGCCACATCCTCTGCTTCTGTTCTTAGATCTTTTGCTTTTTTGAGGCTTCTTTTGTATAACATCAGCAACAGCTTAGGCTTATACAGCTTGTTAAGAATCCTTAAAGTATAGTACCAAACAATATGAAAACTGGTGAAAAGGAGAAGATGAAAGCTAAACATGCTTCATTGCCCTTCTTTTGGATTTCACTGTTGACCAGGAATCACCAATAACAGAAAGAATTATCTAGAGCAGAAGTCAATAGATTTTTGGGTAGCTATGTCTATCAGTAGTAGAGCTAAAGCTGGTATTTTCAACAGAATTGCACTTGAGAATAGATGCTCATCTCTCTGCAGATTTATCTTCTATAATTAATTGTTTTCAAATATATAGTCTGTCATTAATTTTGCTAAGATTCAGAGTTGATTTTTAGACTCCCTTCTAATGTTTAAGTCATAAAAAATATTCTTATGTTGTTAGTTGTTTCTAGAAGATTGGTGTAATCTTTGGATAATACTCTGTTCAGTAATTCCCCTTATGATTTTGGACAGATCCAATATGTGATTATGTAGTCCTGTTCCCAGCATTCTCCTGAAAAGCTACCTGAAAGTAGCTCATAGGAGACTGGCTAAATTTATTTGTCAGAAGATATCTAGTGTGCTTCTGATCAATTCATTCCACGTTTATTATGCAGGGAGCTGAACAAACAGCTTTCTTTTTGGAGGAGGAGCTTAGTTTTTGCTGGCTTAGCTCCTTGAATCGCTCTCTAGGATCTGACAAATCTAGGCAAAGGGGGAGTGTGGATTAGGAAACAGGAGTGTCGGACCTTTCTGGGTTCATCCTCAACTAGGCTGTAACACTGCAGGGAAAGAAACAGCTATTAGGGTGTTTGTTTCCAAGCTGTACTAAGTATGTTTTGCTGAGAGGGGAAATGTTGGTCAGACCCCTAGAGAATGACCCCTCTTTTCTTCTCTTGGAACTCTCTGTCTTGTACATCCAATTTATGACTTGTTAAAGACTGACAGATAAGACATGGATTTAACACTTACTCAGTGGAGCTCCTTTTTCTTCCCTCTATCAAAACCAACTATTCTTCTAGTGGAAATCAACAAGACCTATTGTTTCCACCTGAATTTTGTGTGGGTGTACACAGTTCTTTGCAAAGCTCTCAGAATTTCATGAGAACCTGGAGCCTCCAGAATTCTTACTTTGAAATTTCTGTTTCTTTGCTTAGCTGTGGTGTGCAGCTGGAGTTAATCTCACAGGATGGAGACCTTTTGAGCAGGAGTCTGGGAATGGACAGAAACTGGATCCTGGACGTGATCCTCTCACTTGTGACCGGGAAGTGGAAGGCGAGAACAACAAGAGTAACCATACATCTCCTGAAAAGAAAAAGGTCAGAAAAGAAAACTGATTTTTTTCTCCACTGTTTTTTTCATTCCATCCCTTTTATGCCTCCTGTCATGATAGCTTTATGCTATGAAGTACGATGCACTGACTCAGTAAAGTCTTTCCTAGTGTTAAGACTGTTTCAGTATTTCTGAGGCATTGTGCTGTGGGGAGGGTTTGTGGTATTCTGGCTGTCAGTAACTCTCCATGTGATCTGGGATAAGTCATCTCAAGTAAAATCTCCCAGCTTCTGCTCTTGAAACACTTTTGGAGTTTTGAAAAACTTCCTAATAATAAGGGCAGTTAAACACTTGGTGAAGTTGCTAGGAAGCTTACGGAGTCCTCATCTCTGGGAATTAAAAAAAAAAAAAAAAAGTCAGGCAAAGCTTTGTTAAGATATAGTATAATCCATTTGGTTCAGGAGGTGAATCTCTTGAGATCCTTTCCAGCTCTGTATTTTAAGATAGTCTTAAGTTCTTTTTAAGAACCAAGCTGTAATTTGAAGATGATAATATAACTTTCTGTCCTTTCCAGTTTGGGGATTTTTTTTCACAGCTGTATAATTCTGCTGCCCTATAGTGTTTCTGTGATTAGCTTGCTTAGATTGGTAGTTTGTGCATCCTAGATCCATGGTATTCAATCTGAAATAGCTGCTCAGTGACATCAGTGAGACAGCTGAGAAGAGAAACTGATGACTGAACTGCCCTGGCTGGGGTTCCAGATACAAGTGTGGCAATGTGAGGGAAATTTGCATTGCTCTTATTGTTTATTTTCCTCAGCTAGGAGGAGACTTTGACTCTCCGGAGCTGGCAGTGTGGTCTTTGTATACACAAATGTTGCCAAGCATTAATTGGCTCAGTCTGATCTGAGAGGAGCACTGATTCTTCTGTGTGTTTGCTCTCCTGAAGGCAAAGGAGCTCCATGAAATGGATGCCACATCCAGTCGTGTCTGGATCCTCACCAGTACCCTGTCAACAAGTAAAGTTGTAATCATTGATGCCAATCAGCCTGGTACAGTGGTGGACCAGTTCACTGTCTGCAATGCCCATGTGCTCTGCATCTCCAGCATCCCTGGTAAGTGGGGCCTAGGCACTGGCTCCAGTCTGCACAGGGTCACCCACTCCACTCAGGAGTCACAAACATAGCATCCTCACTTCAGAAGTAACCCTTGGAAGCTGCTCGGTTCAATAATGTTCCTCAAGACCATAACTCAGATCTTGCCTTCTCGTAGGACTATTCTGCGGAGATCTTTCACTGCTGAGCGTTTAGTAAGTGGTTCCTTCGGCACATGCAGGATGGCTCTTGGGAGCAGGCCTTGCCCAGGTTTGGGAGGGCTCTGTACCTGGCCTGGATGTTGATGGCTAGGGATGAGGGGGCGCGCCATGGTGTGATTGATGCTGCGGTGCCTCCCTGGGGCAAGTGAGCTCCAAGGATCAGCATCTTCCATCCCTATGGCTACCTCAGGAGTACTGCTACATTTAAATTAGCAGTGACTGCTAGATTTATGGGAGAATCTGTTCTTTGCCCTTCAGCGGCCAGTGAGAGTGATTATCCTCCAGGCGAGATCTTTCTGGAGGGAGATGTTAATCCTGAAGAGTCGTCTGGAACAGATGGTGTCTTGGCAGGAATCACTCTGGTGGGCTGTGCGACCCGTTGCAACGTGCCACGAAGCAACTGCTCCTCACGTGGTGACACACCTGTGCTGGACAAGGGACAGAGTGAGTCTCTGGACATAAAACTTAACAGTAGTCCAATTATAGCTCGTCCCGTATGAGCTTATGATCTTACAGCTGCATCCTCCTGATGCTGGCTTAACAACTTCGTAGACCTCAAGAAGTTTCTCAGTACAAGAACACCAAAGCCCCTTTGATATTTTTCCCTTTAGAGCCCTTCCTTCCTCTGTGAGTGGTCTGGATCCTGCAGCTAGGTTGTGGGGCTGGTAGAGCAGAGTATTTTGGACAGGTGATATGTACTTGCCCTGCTACATTTGCTTGTGCTTTTGTTGCTTTCTTCTCTGAACCATGTCTTGTTGTTAAGTGAGTTAAGGCTACACGAAAGAAAATAAATAATGCTCTTGCTGATTCCCTACTGCAGTGGACAACTTTGGTGAACTTGTGATGCCTTGCTAGTCATAGATTGTGCCTAACTTTAAAATAGCCTTTGTTTTCCCCAGAGCAGAAAAGACTCTGAATAAACTGCTGTCTGAGATGCAGGCTCAGAGCTCGATTGTATTGGGCAAGGAAGGATAAGTTAAAAATGGAAAGCCAGGTTTCTGTATAGCTAACTTCCGTCTCAGTCCCTAGCTTGTTGTACATCTTGCTATGTTTCTTCTTTTTTAGGCGAAGTGGCTGCCGTCTGCAATGGGAAGATCAACCAGTCCCAGTCTACTGAGGAGGCAACAGAAGCTACCGAGGTACCAGAAAATGGTACAAGTGAGACAGAATCTGCTCAGATCCGGCCTGGGCCGCTCACAGAGCACGTGTTTACAGATCCAGTCCCTCCTCAGGCACCTCTTAGGCAGAACAGGTAGGCTGCCCATGTGCCGGTGTAGTTATTCATCTGCTCTGTTTGCATGAGCTGTTGGTTAAGAGAACCAACCTGATTTTCTGACAAGGTGTCCAACTCTTTTCAGGTTTGTGCCCACAGAATATTACAGATGGGATGACAGGGAAAGGAAGAAATAAAATGAAAATAAACATGGTTCAGCCTGCAGCAGACTATGTTGCAACTTTTTAAGAGCAAATGTTTGATCTCTCAATGTGAATTTAGACCTGCTATTGAGACAGATCTTGCAAAGTACATTGCATTTAACCTCCTTACCAGAGGAGGAGCTTACTGATTCATGCATAAATTTATTCTAGTAGTGCCTCTAATGTGTTGTAAAGATAACAAGATATTCTCCACCAAAAATTCTTAGACAAATGAGATTGAAATGATAGGCTGGGGAGCTGGGAGCACCAAGCAAGCAAGGTGGAAATCTTGGATAGAAATTGCTTTTAGAAAAGCAAGTGCTGTACATTAGCCCAATATTCTTTGAGGTTGAAAATGAAAAGGGTAAACATATACTGTTAATATAATGGTACTGCCAAACACTAAGTTTAGTTATGTAACTAGAAAGCACTTTCTAATTGTTTTGGAGAGAAAAAGAAAATTGTGCAAAATGCAGATTCAGAAGTCAAACAATTGAAAAACACTATCTGTGTATACAAGTGTTTGTATCTGCTTGAGCAGTGCCAGACTGTGAGCATAAATGGGAATTCTGTGCACCGCTATTAATAAAAGTGTCTAAAAATGTTCTTTTCTCTCCTCAGTGAGAACGGGCAGCAGAAGACAGAGTCAAGCACAGCGTTGACAGATCAGGAATTGAATGGGGATGCTGCTGGGACTTGCACTAGTGCTGCCCCCACCATGTGGCTGGGAGCACAGAATGGCTGGTAGGTTCCTTGGGAGCTGGCAGAACTCTCTGTCACCTTGGATGTCCTCTAGGATCCACTTTCAAAGTCCTCACACCTCTAGTTCATTTTATGTTTTTGGAGTAGGTAAGTGTCACTCATCACTCGTCATTGTTCTGAGCCCTCAGCACATCTTAGGCACCATGACTTAATCTCACCTTGCGCATTCCTTTCTTATCAGAAACAAAAGACTCAAACTCTGTCAGGCAGAAGGCGTGAGCCCTTGCTGCTAATTCTCCCTGATTTGTCCTTTCTTGCAGGCTTTATGTGCACTCTGCTGTATCCAATTGGAAGAAGTGTCTGCACTCGATAAAGCTGAAGGATTCTGTACTTAGCCTAGTGTAAGTGTGCACACTGAGGGACACTGAAGGATGAGGTTCAGTGCCTGTGTGATCACTTCTTTGGTGAGGGTGGCACTTCTGTGTCAGTCATCTTTTTTCTTGCCCTTCTCAGGCACTGGTTTATGAGAAAAGGTTTCCCGAGGTTCATACTGAACCACTTTCTCTCTCAGTTGCAGACCTGACCTAGTTCAGTGAGTAAGGTACTAAATGAGATGAGCAGTTCTGGGAGAAAATAAGTGGGAAGAAAAAAGGCAAAATTTCACAAGGGTGTAAATTAGGTGGAATTTGTTGACGTTGTTGGAGTTTGTTGTGTGAAGGAAAAATTAAGTTTAACAAGAAATTGATGGACTATGTTTTTATTACACAGAAGATAAAAAAGGTATAACCCTTAGACCCTTACAGGATGTTCCTTCAAGTGCTAAACTGAACAGGAATTGTAGTGAGAACATAAAGGTGATTTGCATGGATTTCAGAAAGGATTTGCTAAGTAAGTCCCTTAGTTCCACGGACTTTTCTAAGTATTTACTTTTCTGTGATTTCAGGCATGTGAAAGGAAGGGTCCTTGTTGCTCTGGCAGATGGAACATTAGCCATATTCCACCGAGGAGAGGGTAAGAATCAACTCAATGAGAGAAAAACCAAGCTGGCAGAAAATGTGACGAAGGTTTAAATGCTATACTGAGTCAAGGAGGAAAGGTGCCGGCTTGCCCAAATACAAATACTTGCTTAAAATTAGTAGCTATTATACACATAAACCTTACCCTAAACACTATAGGTATATTTTTACACCATTTCATGGCATTTCCTGGACAAAAATATGTGAATATGTGCTTTGTAGCTTATGCAGAGTGAATACAACACTTCTAGGAAGTATTTGTCTCAAAACACATATGCTGTACAGTTGTTTGGGGCATGTCTGGTAAGTTTGACGCATTTGGGCTCCGTTGATGCTGCTATGCATTCACAGATCAACTGTACAGTGCGTGTACAGGAAGCTCCAAACAACTCAGATATATGGTACCCAAGCAGATCATCTGCGCAGTGCAAATGAAATAGGCCTGCACCTTCCCAGAGAAGCTGGAGTCTGTATTAGTGGTGGAGTCGATCTGTGTATATGCAGCAGACGTAGCTAGGATTTCAGGAAGTCTGGAAATCCCAGACAAATAGACAGAACCCTCACATTGCTCTTGTTGGTTTTTCACACCAAGATGTCTTGCTGTGAAAAAGAGATGTCTGAGTATTCTGTCCTGCCTTAATCTTTTAATTTCAATATAATTTTGAATTCTGTATTTCTTATCTACTTCACTAGTAAATATTTTCTTTCCTTATAACCTCAGCAGTTACAAGCTGTATTCGTACCCTGGAGCTTGTGGGAAGTTGCTAACTGTGACTAAGTATTTGCACATTAAGAACTGTTTTCTCAGTCATTCATTGACATCTCTAAGTATACTCAGAATAGCAGTTTTTGCAGCAGACTGGAATACAGAGATTTCTGGTTTTGTGAAATCTTTTTTTGGATTCAGCTTTTGTCATTGAATTCAAGCCTAACCACTCACATGGACAGAAGATTCCCATCAGAAATATGATAAAGTTCATGACGTAGAAGCTACTTGTCTGCAGAGACACAGCATCTGTCTGGTAGTTAGAAAGTAAGAGCAAGAGAAGGGAGATGTGATCCCTCATCCTGGTTCCATCACTTTGGGGAAATGATGTTGTTTGCCTGTATTATGAGGAAACCTCACAGTAAGGATTGCAAAGTTCATTTCCTTATAAGTTTCCACATAAGTGGAAACATTTCCTTATAAGTTTCTTCTTAGGCTATCTTTTTTCTTCCCCTGTTGATTTTGTCATACTTGTTAGGGAAACCTGTTCATTTCATTACAATAAAAAGATGTTTAAATTAGCCTGATTTGGAGAGCTTTCAGCCCACCAAACTAAGCTTTATTGTCATGTGTTAGGTAAGTAGAAGGCTTTGCCCCAGGTAGTTTTATGGATTCATGGGAAGTTCACAAATATAAACAAAATAAGCTTGAGTATTATATAACTCAGTATAAATGGGAAGATAAATGATTCTGTTGTATACTGACATCTCACGAAGGATCCAATGCATCTTTCTCCAACTCGTTTTTCGCCTTAGATGGTCAGTGGGATCTCAGCAATTACCACCTAATGGACCTCGGTCACACTCACCATTCCATCCGCTGCATGGCTGTTGTGTACGACAGAGTCTGGTGTGGCTACAAGAACAAAATCCATGTCATCCAACCTAAGACAATGCAGATTGAGGTAAGAGAACAACTGTGTGTGCATGCACGCACATACATAATGTTGTATTTACTTCTAGCTGTTTTCTTCAGCAACGTATGGAAATGCAGAACCTCTGCCTTGTCATCGCTGACTGTAGGACCAGCATGGTCAGTCTGGACCATCTCATGAGCCAATCTGCCAGAGGGGCACTTGTTCCTTCCTTCCTTTGCAGAGCTTAAATCCTTAGATCAGTCTGAACTGAGCACTTCCTGTACCATTACTAGTGAGGCTATAAGTCCGTGTCCTGTACAAATGTTCATCTGTGCTCTACATCTGTAGGCACTGTGGCACAACAGGAAGAGTACACTTAGCAAGCCCCAGTGATCCCACTTGCCTGAGGGAAAAGGAAGTTTAGAGCCTTTTTGTTGAAATATTTATTCAGTACCATGGTGTTGGTACAAAGCCGGGTAACAGTGCTTTGAGTAACTAATCAAAGGGAGAAGAAATGCTGAACGTGAAGTTCACATCAAAATGCCAAGGCAGTTGGCTGATCTCCAGACTTTATACTCGAGCTGTGTGTTTTCCTTTTCTACCAATTCACCTTGTAAGCTCTTGATTCCTAAATTTCCTTCTTTCTGAAGTGGTCTGCAAAGACCGTAATAGTTCTTTCTATGGAGCAGCTGTGCAACACATCACTTCAAGCAAGGGATTTCCTTCATACTATAGAGAACTTCTGAGGTCAGCCAGGAATTAATACATTTGCTCCAAGAAGTTTGAAACCTAAACAAGTGACCTCAGCTGAGCAAAATAAAGTATATGTCCAAATAATTGCAGACCCTTCATGAACTCATGTTGGTTCATGTGTTTGGCGTTTCAGAAATCCTTTGATGCTCACCCTCGACGGGAGAGCCAGGTGCGACAGCTGGCATGGATTGGAGATGGAGTATGGGTTTCTATCCGCCTGGACTCCACTCTGAGGCTTTACCATGCCCACAGCCATCAACATCTGCAGGATGTCGACATTGAGCCTTACGTCAGCAAGATGCTAGGTGAGGCAGTAGTGACTGTCAGTAAATGGTCTGTTGCTTACTGTGACCAGAGAGAAATCAGTATTCATTAGCAGGCATTACCCCAAGTCGTGTGCTTTTAACTGACTCTCCAATTCTCATGCATGCTTACTAGGCACTGGAAAGCTGGGCTTCTCATTTGTACGGATTACAGCTCTGCTCATTGCTGGCAACCGCCTCTGGGTAGGGACAGGGAACGGTGTCGTCATCTCCATCCCGTTGACGGAGAGTAAGTGACATTTATCAGAGATTTTTCTGTGATCCCCCCCAAATAACAGTGCTTTTGCTTGTTTTTTTATGCAGTATGGCGGATGGCTCTGGCAGGCTAATGCTTTCCAGACACTTTTGCTCTGAACCTGTGATATTTTGATCATAGCAGAATCTGGTGAGAAGAGCCCTCACTATGAGCAACCCCAAACTTGGTTTAACACTTCCTTAATTATGAGATTAAACATTGAGTTGAATGGATTCAACCTGCTTAAAACCAAATAGATAATTGTTACTGTCCCTTTCAGTTCAGTTGAAACTATTTCCTCCTCAGGGGACCAATGACACCTCTAAAGTTTTCTCTTGAGTGTGACTTTGGCAGGGCAAACAGATGTAAACTGATTCTACAGCTACTGGGAAACAGGAGAAATAAAGCTTTGGGAATAGTAGCAAGTCTCCGAAAGGAGACTGTGGGATGAGAAATCACCAGGAAGATTTCTAGGGGAATTTTGTGTTGGCATAGACATCTAAACGTTTCCATGGCAGTATTTTCCGGGCACTGAACTTAGGAAAGCTCCATTTAGTCAAATTAGGGCTCAATTTTTACCAGTCAGGTAGAAATCGGTATCGCGCTAAATCTAACCTGGTGAGGAGATCTAGCAGTGGTAGTTAACAGGCAAGTCTCTACAGCAGGAAGGTTAATTGAAGCTCTCAGTAATCTTGTTCTGTACCTGCCGGTCAGTATCTAGTTTTCCTTTGCAGAAGGTTTGCTTCAGAGTTTAATGAAGGGAGTATGATTTGAGGCTATCTGACTGCAGTTGCTTTCACCAGAAAGCAGCCAAATTTCCATTTTTCCAGCACTGCTGACAGGAAGGCCGAGAAGCAAATGAGTGCTGTGTAAGGGGAGCAAGAGGATTGTTACAATCCTCGTGGAAGCGGGCGCTGAAATTGTCTCCTCTCCCGCGGGTGGAGCTGGATATCACCAGGGCTGACACCAGGAAGTCAGTGGCACAGTCCTCTCTGTGCATTGTAATCTCAGTATCTCACTTCTGAATCCCTGTTTTAAAGCCCAATCTTTCTTGAGGCTGTTGTCATAATTCTGAGTTATGCTTATTCCCTGCTGTAAACCAGTTGCATTATCCTTTGGGGCTTCTGTAAAAATGTGGTTCGGGATGCAGTAAGCTTTTACTAGGAATTTTAGCAATGGATCTTTGTGACCATGGACCCTCTCCTCTCTCAGATACTGCATCTGTCCTTGTAAGATAGGAGAAAGATGAGCAAGAGTAGTGTTGGTATAAATTGATCCTGAGCCTATAGCTCCTGTTATGGTTTTGCTAGGTTTATACATTTCTGTTGCTCCCTGAGTTTTCTCCCAGTAATCACCTTTTTCTTCTCTCCCATCCTGCCTGTCTCTTCCCCTGCCCCTCTGTGTTCCCACTCCTTGCCTGTGCCTAGCTGTAGTCCTCCACCGAGGCCAACTCCTTGGGCTCCGGGGTAAGTCCATTGCCTCCTTCCTTCAACTCTCACTCCTTTTACACCCATTGACCTTTGCAGTCACTTTCCCACCCTTCCATCCTGCCATTCAGTTCTCTCCATCCATTTTCCTTGTCACTCTCTCATTTTAAGTTGCAGTCATCTGAGAAAAGAGACCAGATGCAATAATGTAAATATCCTCCTTTCCCATGGCTAAAAACACTTGCATCCTTCTCATCAGCCATCCTGTCTATTTTGTGTAACTGGAGTACTTTACCCTTCCTCAGTAGTTCCCTTATTCTGATAGGCCAGGTTTTGGATGGGGACTAGCTCTGTCTAAGCTGTAAAGTTTTCTTCAGTCAGCTGTTTCCAGGAAGTAGGAGTAGACTCATCACTGGGTCTTCCAAGGGTGCTTCTCCCATTAGTTTCCAGGCCAATGACAGTAGCTGCTGTGGCACCTCACAGCAGCAGATAATCAGCCAAGACTTTTAACAAGAGGAACTTCTTTGAGAAATATTGAGAATTGCTTCCTTTTGTGCCTATTAAGGCAGGGTCTGAGTTCACTGTTCAAATTTATGCTTAGGCTTACCCGAGCCTCTCCAGGGTCAGGTGTTTTTTCTCACTGGAAGACATTCCTGTAGCTGTCCAGGAGCATTGTCAGCATGTGTCTCCTTTTAAAACATCTAATGCTGGTCACTATTAGAAGCAAGATACTGAGCTAGAAGACTGAACTGCAGGTATCAGCACTGTCTCAGTCAGATGAGAACATCCAAGTCTAGCTGCTCGCAGCAAGCCAAAGCACAAAGGTGCAGAAAGCTTTTGTTTTGAGGATCCTCCCTTTGCACACATTGACTCTCGTGCTTCCATCCAAATGTTTGTACGTTATCTCAGCATCCTGGCTTGAGCCTGCTAGGTAAGTCGTCTTTGTTTCTGAGGCGCTTAGTAACTGAAATCTATGTCAAAATACCGAATTACTATCAATTAAGCAAGCAATTTAGTTCTCTCTAGAAATAAACAAAAAGTGAAAGCCTTACAGTTTTAATAGTATTTCTCTTTTACTGATGTGGGTGCATGTGAAAGGAAAGCATCTCCTATTCTGAGCCTGAACACTTGTCTCTGTTCCCTGGTGAGTGGAAGCGTTCATGTTCTCAGTGCCTGGACCTGAAAGGTGCAGGCCCCTGAGTTCAAACTGAAATCCTTGGCAGTTGTGGATGGTGGACATCTTTCAAGAGGTGTTCATTGCTTGAGTAGCTCATCTTCTGGTATCAGGGCTAAATCAAGAACTAAGGAAGGACCACTGCTCCATCCACTGCTGTGACAGTAACTTGGTTACTTGGATTTGAGGCCTTCCCCAGCCAAAGAGACGGCTTTCAGAAGCCTGCATGCCGATAGTTTGGCATTAGCAAAGGACTTGACTTGGAAACTGAGAACTTTACTGATCCAGAAAATAGCAGTAAGTCTCCAAGTGTATGGAGGACAAAAGCTCTTAATGTGTCATGGGGGCAGTGAACACCTTTGGTTACCCCGCTGAGTATGAAAGACCAAGGTTGATCCCTAGGACAGTAAGTAATTTCTGAAGGTTGGACAGAATTGCTGCCAGAAAAGGCCTTTACTGGGACAACCTAGAGACCTTGTGTTTGGTGTGCTCTAGGGTCATTGTTGCCCACCACCTCCAGGGATTTGTACCTCATTAGTAGCCAAAGACTAGATTTGATGATAAATGTAGTTTGTTGTCCTGAGTGGGTGTTCCCAACCCAACAGGAAGAGGGAGGGACTGTATAGCCTAGTGTCGTCTCCTGTATCACATCCCTTACACAAGACCTTTAGAGACCTGCACCTTTAAAGGTTTTCCTTCATGTCTCATGACTGTTCTCTTTGATCGAGTCCCTTCTGTAAATGGGACCAAAGCTGTCACTTACAATGTTCCTCCTCCCTGTCCTCAGCCAACAAAACCTCACCCACCTCCGGAGAGGGCAGCCGCTCTGGCGGAGTCATCCATGTGTATGGCGATGACAACAGTGACAAATCTGCCAGCAGTTTCATTCCCTATTGCTCCATGGCTCAGGCACAGCTCTGTTTCCATGGCCACCGTGATGCTGTCAAGTTCTTCGTCTCCGTGCCTGGTAAGGATGAGAACATCCCTTCCTTGTGCAGCGCCTTGTACCACAGTCTCTTCAGTGGCAGGAGCTGGAGCTGCTTGGCAGCAGGAGGCTGTCAGCATCATTTCTGTCTATCACCTGTAGATTACCGTGGCTCAGAGACTGGTAGTTTAGACTGTAATGTCTTCCAGATTTCACCAGTGGAAGGGACTGACCTGCTTCGCGGTGTTTGTGTAATTGTACGAAGTGCGTGAGGGTTGAGCAAAGGTACTGAGAGCACCTCCCTCCCGTTCCAGGCAATGTTCTAGCGACCCTGAACGGGAGCGTGTTGGATAGCCCCTCGGAGAACCCCAGCACAGCGGCCACCGAGACTGAGGGGCAGAAACTGAAGAACGTGTTGGTGCTGAGCGGAGGAGAAGGGTACATCGATTTCCGGATTGGTGAGTGCTTGTGGTGGGAGGCATCTGGGACAGGACAAGGTGCAGGGCCACGGCATTGGAGAGAGGCGACACTGCTGTGGGGAGAGAAATCTGAAAAGCGAGACCGCTTGCTTCTCTTGCCTCCTGCTGCTGGGCCAGATAGATAGCAGGCTTTTCCTTGCATAACATAAGGCTGCCAAACTCTGCCCCTGTCTGTGACTCTGCTGCCACACAGGCTGCAGTAATAGCTCTGAAAAGAATAAAACGCTCTACCAACAGCTCCAATCGCTGTTGTCCCGCTGTGGCTGCTTATGCCACTCTAGGGCTTTCTGTGTCGTAAACATTGGCTTCCCCAGACTCCTGGAGATAGTTTGTTCCATTTATACAGGCTTGTTTCAGAAAAACACCCTATAGTTATAAATGTCCTCCAGGCATCAAGGGAGGTTTCAGCTTGTGCTGTTTGTGATCAGACTGCAGAGATCATGTAGCAGGGATGTTAGCCTCTTGTGAAGGATTCCAAGGCAGTGTAACTTTAGGTTTTCTTTCCCGCCTTCTCTACTCTCTGTTTTCTCTCTTCAGGGGATGGAGAAGATGATGAGACAGAGGAAAATGCAGGAGATGCCACCCAGGTGAAGCCAGTACTTTCCAAGGCTGAAAGGAGCCACATCATCGTGTGGCAAGTGTCATATATCCCTGAGTGAGAATTTTTCCTTTCCTACCAATGTAAGTCTCCCTCCTCCCACCTGAATGCCAAGATGTACATACAGAACTCCTGCATTATACCTACTGCTGGAAACCGACCCCAGCCAACTGCAATGGCTCCTGCCTTGGACTGTGACCCCCCCCTTCTAACCTCTGAACTTGCAGCTTTCATCTTGGGCCTGTGCGCTTTCTGCGTGGTTAGATTATTGTTCTTGCTCTGGAGCTGGCGTCTACAAGGAGAGAAATGGCAGCTCATTGATGAAGTGAAGCTTGGAGCCAGAACCATGCAAACCCTTTGCCCAGGGCCCAGGAGCTGGGAGCTGGATAGGTGGCGCAGGTTCTCCAGCAGGTTGCCTCACTTCCACCTGCATGAGAAGCAGTACGTCACCCCGGCATCCCCCACCAAAGCAGCAACAGTGAATCACAACTCTCCAGCACCCCAGAAGAAATCCTTTCTAGTTCACAAGTGGAATATCCACCTTACCCACTCTGCATAGGGTAAACCTAAGCACAGAATAATATCCCACGGACTGAGAGCAGCCAGGACCAAGCCCAAGCCTGGAACCTTCAACCAAAAGGAGTGTCAAGGTTTCGGAATTACTTCCGCTGTTTGGCTGGAGAGGGTAGCAGTGTCACGAACGGTTACTGTGAGGAACACGTTTTCTGTACATGCAAATGGAAAGTCTCCCTCCTCTACTGCTGCTGTTGTCTTAGCAGTAGTGTTCTGGGTGACTGTGTGCCCAGGGAGGGCTGTTCGGTTGGGTCAGATGGAAGACGGGTGTTTTGTGGTGGAGGCCACAGGGACTTTGGAATCTGCAGTAGCAAAAGGGTACTGGAACCTTGTTAGTTAGAAAACAGAAAAGTCAGCAATACTTTTAACTCCCCCTTACAAAAATGCCCGGTAGGAAAAGACTCTTGAGTTCATTCTTTTTATGAGCCTGAAAAGATCCACGACAAAGCTAGCGCCGTTGGCTTTTAAAATACAGACGAGGGCAGAATACATTGATGTGCTGCAATTCTGTGTTAACACAGTGAAGTTACCTTGACTCTTCAGGATGTGTCCCCTTCTGGGAACTGCTGGTGTGCAGCAGGGCAGAGGTGGCTGTTTTCCTTCACCCCATAGCTGTGAGGTTAAGGAGGACCGTGTAGATGCTGTCAAGGTATAGAAAGGCTGTGTCTTGCCTGAGGTCGCACAACAAGGAACGAGGCCAGATCTCCTGACCTCTTTACCTAACATGACTGGCCTTGCTAGTGAATAGGTCAAAAAGCTGGAAATGCCTGGCTCCTGAAAAGAATGATGACCCAAGAGAAATGCTGACTGCCCTGCTTGTGTAAGCAGTGCTGTGGGATTGCAGGCGTGTGTCCTGCTTGCAGGAGAAGCAGCAAGAAGCGGGGCCAGCAAGAGCAGTTTTAGGCTACAGTGCTAGCTCCAGATAGCATACCTCCGGGTAGTGGTTTGTCCACCATGCACTTCACTTCCTTTCTGACAGTGGAAACAGTCCTGTCTCCAGAAGGGTGAGTCCTGCTTCCCTGGAGTGCTCCCTTCTGGCTGTGCAGGACTAGAGCGAGCAGCAGTTGTTAGCAGTGGATTTGGGGATACTGGTGGTCTTGTTTCTTCCCTGGCAAGGGTAGATATCCAGAGAACAGAGGCCTCGGCCACCAAATTCGTGGGGGGCAGCGTTGCCTTGCGCTGCCTGTGAGCAGTGCTGGCTTACGCGTGCGCTCACACCTCTCTCTGTAGAGTGAGGCAGGAAACCAGCCGGATGGGCGTCCTCCAGCCACCAGCATGCCAGGCTCTGTGGCTGCCATTTGGCCGAGGGATTTTTTTTTGAGCAGCCCACTTGTATGCAGAGGGGACCTCCGGGGACACTTCACTGGGCACCGCTGACTGTGCCAGGCTTGTTCTGCTGCCACCACTTTCCTGAAATGCTTGCTGCTAGCATGGGCTCTTTGGGTTGCGACACAGAGTGCATAAAGGTTAACAAAAAGGTAGACATTTAGACAGCCGATTCTACAAACATCTAACAGTTAGTTAGCGCCAAGTAAATTTCATAATTTGGACTAATTTAAGGACAAAAAAAGTCCTAGTAGGCCCCATTCCTTAGCTCCACAGAACTTTCTATATGAAAATACAGACGTGCAACACTGTGTTACCTCGTCCTGTCTGTTCTGTATCTGGTTTTTTGCAGTCACAGTGACACTGCTCCGTCACCTGTTACCCACCAGTCCCTGGCAACTGAAGGAAATAGGTCTGAGGCCTCTACCAACAGGTTCCTTTCCAGTTGGATGCATGTTTTCCTCCAAGAGAAGCACATATTTAAAAGGGGGCAGCTACAGCTAAGTAAAACCAGCCTCTGCTGTCACACTCCTGTCAGCACTTGGTGGCTACTGGGCAGCAAGGTGAAGAGCTGACTGGCTTCAACACACTTCCCTGTCATATCTCCACTGTGATGTATGTAAAGTATCTTGTATGTTACAAAAGGATTTTAAAAAGTGTCTTAAGGCCTGTAAACTCCGCTGTTTGGTCAGAAGATGGCATTCTGTAAAGAGACTGCTGTATGAATACGTTCCCATGCTTCGTCCCCTATGCTATCAAACAAGGAACCATATCTGTTCTGTATGTAATAAATGTGTTAACATCAGCAAGTGCCAGTGTGTCGTGTTTCGGGCACTGGGCTTTCTGCTCAGTCTGTAGTGAAGCTTTGAAAAGGGTTGGAGTGGCAGACAGCTCAGATGTTCACTATTTAGCTACTGGCTCTCTACAGCTGTCCTGGGGGGGGTGGGTCCCCTTCAGATGAGACACCAGGGTTAACACATAAGCCTCAGCTTTCAGAGCTCAGGTTGCCAACGTGCCCATCTCACTACAGGGTGGTGCTTGACAAGGCTCATAGGAATCAATGACGTGCAGCAATCCTGCCTTCAGCGCGCTGAGTTCATCCGCTTGTCTGTTCCTCTTAGTCCCAGTAGCATTTAGGCAAGTTCATCTCTATTCTGTAGAAGTTAATTAACTCAAGGAATGTACGTAACAATAATAGGTAAGGGGCAACGGAACAGGAAAGTAGTGAAAATCACTGTGAATAAGGCTATAAATAGCAACATTGCCAATTGTCAGTATTTAAGATGAGTTGCAGCAAGCAGATTCCCTTGCCATTAGCTTCCTAAATGATTTTAATGTCTTGACAAGCCGCGGCTGCTTCCTCATTAGCTGCCTTGCCTGTGCATCGCTAGGGCACTCAAGGAAAATTGCAACTAGCAGCACATTGCAGTATCAATAAAAGACGTCATTCAGTGCAGCAGCTTTGAGAACAGAGCGCTCAGCTCACCTCCCTCTCAACGCAGCACTCCGCCGCACTCGGCCAGCGCTGGCCCAAA